ATTTCTTCTTGAATCACTTTTTTTTCAACCTACTTAAGAAAGGATAAGATCCCACCTATGGATATAGCCAGGATTTTTATTAACTAACCATATCAAGATTGTGTTAAATCACAATTAATGCAACAACTACAAGACATTACTTTGATGGTTTAAACAGGTGAGAGGTGTTGTGTGTGTGTTGTGTGTGTGTTTGTGTTTTCTTTTTCATGTAGTAGATGGTTAAGGTGGGCAGCCCAGGCTGGAGCAACTGCTCAAGGATGTCTAGGAATCAGGCTCAGTCTGCTCCCTGGGGTGTGGCTTTTGTCCAAACGATCACGGCATGGCTGCTATGCACCCAGGAAAGAAGAAAGGCAGACAAGCTCTGATGAAGAAGAGATTTTGCTTCTGCAATCCACCTTTTACCCTGGTATTGCTGGGAAGGAGACATGGAAGACGGCACATGGAGGAGAGACATGTAGAGACACATGGAGGAGAGACATGTGGGGAGGCTGCCAGTGGTAGCCCTTATCTTGATGTGGCATCTCCTTTTGTCTCAGCTTTCTCAGACCTATCTTAGAACCCTTTTCTCATGGTTCCCCATCAGAAAATACCTTAGACTTGTGACAAACCTGTGGGCTTCTGTGGCTTCACTTTGGGCTGGCCCTGTTTAGCTGGGCATTTGCCCAGGAGGGCATGGGAATTTTGGAATATCTTTCTTCTCTATTAAAGTTCTGTCACAATAAGATTCTTCTTTGCCTTTGTGCATACAGATACAGGGATCTCTAAAGATCCCTATAGAGGGCCTCCCTGGTGGCACAGTGGGTTGAGCACAGTGCTGTGAAGCTGTCTGCAGCCTCTGCTGCACGGGTTCAATTCCTGGCCGGCCGGGGAGATACCCACATGGCGCATCAGACCTCTCCTGTCTCTCCCGCTGCTCCCCTCAGCAATGCTTTTGGTCTGTCTGCCTGCTCTGCTCCTCACTCTGTCTCTGGTGAATCCTGTCACCCTCCCATGCCTCTGGCCTGTACCCCCCCCCCAGCTCTGGTATTAATAAATCTTGAAAAAAAAAAGATCTCTTTAGAGAATGCAAGTTTAGGGGTCCCAATCTTCCCTTCCCTTACATGCTAACAAAGGGAGTCTGGGAAGGCAAGTACTTCACTTTCCAGCCTCTGTAATAGAGGCAAGCAAGGGAGAAGGGGTGTAGGACTGGGCATCGGGTGAGTCAACTTAAGACACCGGCCACAGCAGCTCCTCATGCATGCACTTCTCCCCTGCAGCGAGCAAGTGGTTTCTCAAGTAACATTCAAAAGTCAGGAAGGCAAAGCACTTTCTAAATTATAAAATGCTTTCTGAATGTTATCAATGAGGTATGTTTAAATGAGTAATCGAATTTTCAACTTTCCAGAAATTTTACTAAAACATTGTTCCTCTGTGATTTCATACTTGATATATTCAAACTATGTACACTCAGGCAAGTTAGAATATTTTCTCTTTTTTTCTTGCACTCATTCTCAATGATTGCAGGCACTTGTTCTGGGTCACCTTGGCAAATGTTTTCCTGTCTCCAGCTATTATTCTGTTCTTCTTGCCTTTCTCTCTTTGTGTCTGACAGTAGGAACTCTAGCTGAATTAGACAAAGGAGAGAACTGCCAGTTCTCCAGCTGGCTATGTACTCCTCTTCCTTTTTCTACTGCACATTTTATCTTAGTGCTGATTTATTGGGTTGAGTAGTTGCATCCAGACAGCTACATGCCAATCACGTGTACCCTGATTACTCATGATGAGCCTTAGGATACCATACAACTCACTAATGAGCACATTATAATGCTGGCCAGGGCTAATTAGACAATAATCATTGTACTGCTTTATTTACAGTCTATCCATTTAAATTAATTGGGCATTTAATTGAATGAAATTGGAATTGGGTTTTGAAGTTTAAGTTATTTTCACCTACTATCTCTTACAGATAGGGGAGATTATTCACTTGTTCTGGAAATTTAGAGCAAATACAAATGGACATGATTATTTTATAATGGTGTGCATGCATCTGTAACTTTATCTCAAAATATGTTTGCAAACAGCAACCAAATTTCTAATTTTTTGAAACTCCACTAACACCCTTAGGTGAACTGACTATAGAGACTGTATGCATAAAAGGTAGTAATTCATCCCACCATTGGTTGGAAATAAACCTGATGAAAATGTTCTGATTATTTTCTTAGGATAGAAAATATACATTTAATTCATGAATAAATAAGTGGCAAACTATACTTAATTATAATCCAATGTATTTTCCTATTTCAAAACATATTATCAAAATATTTCAAGATTTACCATACTGAAAGATATAGTTGCCCAAAATTGCATGCATGAATGCACCACTAAATTCAAATGCCTTCTTATTGTCTTTTCCTAATGGCACGTTGTAGAGTAGTCTTAGGGTAACTAAAAGAGCTTCTGGACAAAGAAAATGAGAGAACAATTCTTCTACTGTTTTTTCAAATAGTAGCATTTCTGATTTGTGGGCATCCAATCAATTTTGAGATGCACCAAATGACTGAGGATTTCTTCCCAAAATAAATGGGAAGTGTGCTGCTTCAATTATTCATAAAAAATGTTCATAGAAAATATTAATAAATGATTCTCAAAAGTTATCTGAAATGAAACTTATTTTGGGAAAAGGACCTCAGGGGAGTTAGATAAAACAGTAGTTGTTTTTTTTTTTTTTTTTAAGATTTATTCATTCATGCATACAAGAACTGGGGTAGATGTGCCAGAGGGTGAGAGGATTCACCAGAGACAGAGTAGGGAACAGAACAGGCAGATTGACTAAAATACACTGCTGAGGGGAGCAGCGGACGAGACAGGAGAGGCCTGCCACGCCATGTGGGTTTCTCCCTGGCCAACCGGGAATCAAACCAGTGCTGCACTCAACCGCCTGTGCCACTAGGGGAGGCCCAAAAGAATAGTTTTTAAAGTTATATTGTGTTATGCTTAACCAATCTGAATTCTTTCCTTTTGATTTTACTTTGGGTTATCAACTCAAAGAGATGAGTCAAGTAAAATGAATACATTTTAACCACTTCTGAGAAGGGCCAGGGTATTTCTATTTGTATTTTCTCATGTAATGCTTGAGTTTTCCGAGGTGTCTCTTTTATTCAACAGGGCACCACAATCTTTACCTTGAGTTTTGCGAGATCAGAGAACAGAGTAAGGACAAATTCCAAGGTAGAAGCTGGTCTCTTACTTTTGTAAGACCCAAATTGTGGAGGGACGATGGAGGTTGAGACCAAGAAATCCATGGACCTGAGTACTCTGACCCAGTTTGTCTGAGATAGTAACCTTTAGTCATAGTAACTACTGAGCTATCGACATATATCTAGTCCAAACAGAGATGAATTCTAAGTGTAAATATATATCAAATTTTGAAATTTTAATATAAAAGGTGACAAGATCAATGAGAAGTTATCTCATTAATCATTTTTATATAGATTGTTGTATATTTTTTGAAATATTGGTTTAGATGAAATAGATTGTTAATGTTCATTTCACCTATTTCTGTTTTCCTTTCTTTAACTAGAAAATATACAATTACATTTATGGCTCACATTAGTGACTTATATGTTTCAACAGAAGGCAAACTTAATAGGTTAATTGTCTTGGGGCTGACAAATTATATACCACTTGCGTGAATTTAAATGATTATTCAATGTATTGAACTGTATGCCATGTACTTGGTTAAGGCACTGGAGATATTAAGGTGAACTAGACAAAGTCCCTTCCCTCAAAGGCCATAGGCTCTTAGTATGTGTAGGGAACTCTGGTCAACCTTCCCCATATTTTTTTCTCTCCTTTTCCACAACCTGTCTCTAATTTTGATTTCAATCAGTATTCAGCACTTGCACTGCTACGATTTTGTAAATAACATTCTTGGGTGAGTCATGCAGTGTGATGTATTCCCCTTCACATGTTTTCTTTTCCCACAGAGCTAATAACTAATGAAGCTAATTGCCCCCCACCCCAGTACATCTACATCTACCCACATTCTACCACGTCAGGTCGAGTAGCAGCATCACATCTTTCTTGAAGATGTCCCTCTTGGTACCTCATTTTCTTATTTCAAGGGGAACTGGCCACTTGCCATGGCATGCCTTTTATCCTGGATTTCCCTTTCTAATCACCCTGGAGTGTCCCCTCACCTTATTCTTGAGTTAGATCATTTGTTTCCTAGGTCCCATCGCTTCCTCTTTGTTTAATCTCTTGTGTTAGGGAAATCCTCCTTCTGTGCCTTCGTTAGAAAAGATGCCTGGGGAACAAAAATTTTAAGACTCTATATGACTGAGAATTTCTTTAGACTACTCTCTGTAAGAATAACTTCCTGAATATAGAATTCCAGGATGAAAATAATTATCCCTCTAAGTTTTGAAAGTCAATCTTTGTCTTCTGAACTCTAAGTAATATTGCCAAGAGTTTATGATTCTTTATTATATGTAATGTGTCTTCCCTCTCCTGGAAAATTTTATTATCTTCTCCTTTTTCCCAGTTTTCTAAAATTGTATAATAGTGTATCCACTTAGGATATTTATTTATTTATTGTATTTGACACGTTGTGAATCCTTTGAGGTTAGAAATTCATATCCCTTAATTGTAAGAGTATTATTGGACTGTGTAATAATTATTTTCCTTCAATTTTCTCTAAAACACTCTTTCTCAAACTGTTACTAAATAATTAATAATTAGTCCTCCTGGATTGTTTCTCTAAATTTTTAATTTTTTCTCCTTTTCACCAATATCTTTTTCTCCTACCTTTTGAGAAACTTCTTTCTCTCTAATCCTTCTATTATTTTTCCTTCTGCAAAATTTTATTAACTGAGGCTATGGAAGAGTTTGATCACAGCATGGACTCATGCTGAAAAGATTAGAAATTACAGAAAAACTTGAGATAAGTGTCAGCCAGCTTAACTAAGTCCCTTGGGCATCAGAGAAAAGTTAATATAAAATTGCAGAGACCAAGTCTTTGTTGGTGATAGAGGAGGGATAAAAATAGAGGGATTGGTGCTCCCTGGTGCCGTAAAATAAATTTGCAACTTATTTTTTTCTTTATTTTTGAAGTTGAAATCCTCTCCCTTGTTGTTGAGCCTCAAAAAGCAATTGTTTCCCCAAGTCACTTCAAGCCCTCTTCAATCTTTTCCCTTTTGTAAATAAGGTTCAAGTAGTTTCTTTGAAAGATAACTCATATCCTTTCCTTTTCCACACCCCACACATTCCATTCCAGGAAACTGGCAGCCCTGCAGCACAGAGTTTGTGTTCTTTCTCTCTGAAATGAAAATGGGAACAAATGGATTTTGGTAGTCTTTCTTCAGTATTACTTACCTGCAAAGTTTAATTCCTTATTCAGAAACTTACTTTTCACTGCAATTTTTTATAACTTAACTAGATCACATCTCCCTCTCTGACTTGGTAAAATCACCAACTTTTTTGATCTAACCAGTTAACTGGCTAAACTATCTTCATGCTAATTTACCAGGAAACACTGGGTGAAGACATAAATAACACTGGTCAATATACAATAGTTGCAGCTTAATTTGTAGGCAAAATTTCATTCGTTGGTTGTGGGAAGAAAAAAATTTATATGTTGATTGGACTTGGGATGGGGATGGAGTAGGGAGAAGATATCGTAGTAGTGAGACATTTTGAAAAGAACTGTCAGTCCTGTTAATTATCAAGGCCTCTTTTTGGAATGTTCATTTTAATGAACTTTTGTTTTTATTTAAATAGATGGGAATACCTCCTGCATGAGAAAAAGCACTGAGTGGTGGTGGACTCATTGCTTAGCACTAGATTTTCACTTACTCTACCCTAGTTGTTTTCATTTTCTATATATACATTTAAAACTAAATTATTTTTGAAGGTCATTAGCAATTAGCTTGGATTCCAATGAATAACAATATCTGTAAAAGTAAAATATCCCTGTTTCTCCTTAAGAAAAAAAAAAAAAAAACCTATAGCATTCTTATAATTAGAACATCATCTGTGCATGAAGTTCTTGAGTCAGGTCAACTGATGGGTGCTCCTGTGGTTACTAGTTTGTAGTAAGCTCCTTTCTGGGCCATAAGTTCTTCATGAGTCCCCTTTTCAATCACTTTCCCCTGTGACATGACAGCAATGATATCTGAGTTTTGGATGGTGGACAAACGATGGGCAATGACTATGCAGGTTCGACCTTCTCTGGCTTTGTCCAGGGCAACCTGCACTGTCTGCAAAGAGAAAATGGAAAGCTGAAATGGCCACTAGCACAAGAGTTCAGCTTAATATCATCTGAGTAACAACACCTTAGTCAGGGGTTAACCCAAAAGTTTGACATAAGAGAGAGGGTTAAACAACTATTTGCTGAATGCAGTGCATCAATGATTTAAATTGTAGTCCATAGGCTGAGAAATTTTTGTGTAGCAAGAATGAAGCAAACCATGAGGTTACTACATAATTTTACAATACAATACTCAATGATCTAGATTGCTAAAATGAACCCAAAGATTCCTGATACTATCCTTCACTGGGGACATATTAAATCTCTTGAAAATATAATTCTGATTTTTAAGGAGATAATTATAAATTGTAAATCTCATAATTGTGTTTTGCTCAATTGCATTTCTTTTCATGCAAAGTACACACCAGATACACACAGACTCTTTCTTTGAGTCGTATGCTGCCCCACCTGCTCTGCCACATAACTTTAGGACTGGTCAGAACTAGTCAATGTGAAATCCCGAACAGATGGCCTGGGTTATTTTATTTTACATAAGAAAACTAATTATTTGCCCTTGTAAAAAATGTCACATAACCTAAATAATCTTAGAAGCAATTCTTATTTTTAAGTTATTTTTTTTATTTGATGCAATGCTACTTTAAATCACTTTCATTGTCTTTTGGGTACACCAAGTATTGGCAATTTCTACTGTTAATGAATCAGAAAATTGAAAATAGTGCCATGTCATCAGGACAAATATTGCAGCCAAAGGCTCATTTATAATCATTTAAGACTTTAGAAAATCAATACTCACCTTTTCACTTTCTGTGTCTAACGCAGAAGTAGCTTCATCTAGGAGCAAGATTTTGGGATCTCGTACAATGGCCCGAGCAATAGCAATGCGTTGTTTCTCCCCTCGAGAGAGTTGAGACCCCTGGGACCCAACATTGGTTTCATATTTCTGGAAGAAGCATGGTAAGTTTGAGGACAGAAACAGCCATTGCTCCTGTGCTATATAAAACCCACATCAATGACCCCTCCGTGATTATAAATGATTTGTTGTGTTTTGAAATGAGGAATAGTGAGCAATTCCTTCTATAAGAGACATGGAGTTCATGAGCATTTGTGTTGGGAACTGGGGGACTTTGTATGCCCTTCTGTGAATTTCTTTTTGATCTCTTTCTCTCTTTGTTCAGTTAGCATCCCATTTAGGAGCTCCTTCTTGATTCACAGTTCCCTGATCTGCAAACTCCTGTCTGAAAGACCTTTGTTCCAAGAGGGAATAATCCCAGAAAAGGAAGAGCCTTTTGAGAGATCTTCTGTCCCATTCCCTTACTGAGGAAGGATCATTCTGGAACACAAGCCTAGGTTTGAATCACCACTCTAATGCCTACAAGCTCTGTCTGTGATCATGATCAAATACCTCAAACTTCTTTGAACTAAAAACTGGAGATCCAGAAATTAATAAGTATGTCATACATTTGTTGTCAGTTTTGATGAAATTGTGAAGGAAAATCCCTACCTAGATGCTTGCATGGCCACATAACAAGTAGTAATCTTGTAAGTAGTCCATTCATGGAGAATTTACTATGTGTCAAAAAGTATGTTAACTATTCCAGCCACATTATTATTTAATAGCCACAGAAATAATATACGCCCCATTCTACAGATTACAAAATTTAGGCACAAAGAGGTAAGAAACTTGTGCAGACAAACCAGTAATAAGCACTGAAGGTGAAATGAAATTCATTGTGTCTAGCCACTGAAGCCTTGACCACTATTCTATCTGCCTTCCATGACAAGGTCTCTTTTCTTCCCCTGCCTCTGATGAATATTCAACCAAGCCAGGTGAAACCCCTGATAGCCTATGTTGTCTCTGGGGAAAACTGCTCAGTGAAGAATGTTGTAGGCAAATCTGTATGAGAAAGAAACAATAAAGCAATTCTAAGCCAGTTGTCTCACACAAAATGAGTAAATGCTCAGCAAAGATTTATGGTATAAATTAATCTTCCAGGGGACACATAAGCTTTGTTTTTCTTCAGAATATAGCAAATAGTAATTTCCACATGTTTGTGCCTCAGGCTATCCACATGCCAACAACATATGATTTAGAAGCCTTTGTGAAAACAACAAACAAGCCCATCACAAGCACCACAAAATTGATAAATGTATTCACTTAGCAAAAAAAAAAAAAAATGTAATTTTCCAATGGTGTTTAAAGGAAATAGAAAGGTTGAAGTTCATTTATCAGTCCCAAAATTCAGTTTCCATGTTTAAGTTTCCTTGTGATCAATCACCAAGAGAGATTCTTGGTGGATGGAGAATTCCGGGTTGATATGGCCCTAAGTTCAAAGTGAATGGAAAAGTGAGGTAGACACCACTTACCCTACCACACACAGTATTTGCTGCTAAGTAAAGAGATTATGATGCCAACAATAAAAACAGCAATTTTCTTTGTGTGGCTATTATGTATGTTATTTCATTTTAGTGTTATATTATGCATTTTGAAGATGACTGAGTCTCAGAAAAGAGAAATAGTTGTCTCAAAGTTATCCAACTAGTAAGTTGCATGGTTTGAGTTCAAACTAATGTCAGCTCCAAATCTCAGACATTATTTCTTCTGTTAAGCTAATGCTTACAACAGTACAACTTTATGTACAGCAACAGTATCTGTTGCATTGGATAATGCAGTACTTTCCAAAACTAAATTGTGTAATGCTTTTCATAGCTTAAGTATTGATGAAGGGCATTTATTTTGCTTAATAGACTAAGACTCCATAGACAACCACAGGGTGCTACGAAATAAATTGTGTTGCATTGGACCGTCTCCTTAAGCCATGATTCCTAACACTTTCTGGTCAACCTGTCTTTCCCCATCCTTGTCTTCTATGGGGAATGACTCTGACTTGGTACTCACCTCTGGGAGCGACATGACAAAGTCATGCAGCTGAGCCTGCTTTGCAGCTTCTATGACTCTTTCCCTGGGAATTTCTCTGGTATTGTCCCCATACTTGATATTGTCCATTATGCTACAGGCAAACAAAACTGGTTCCTGGGAAACAATTCCAATTTTCGAACGAAGAAATTGGATATTTACTTTTTTGCTGTCATGCCCATCTATTATCTACCAATAGAAGTGACAAAAAGGGTGTTACATTTTAGAATTCCAGCAGTGAGGAAAATTCACATCCCAGAGTCAGCTGTATGCAGGACAGCTGCTTTCCTTAAGGACAACAATTCCAGGGGTCTTGACCCTTTCTTTTATTGAAATCAGACTTCTAGAGCAAAGTGCTTTCTGGATTCATCAGTTTCAAAACAATAAAATCCTTATACTCCAAATTAATAACAGAAATGAGTATAAATTATAGGTAATCAATTCTCCTTACTTTCCTGATTTCTTGTATTTACCAATACTTGTCTGCTTGTTTCCTTGCTTTGCTTTTGCAAGGGAAACTTTAGTTGCCTCCTTCAAATTTTCTCTCATATTTCTCTTCATACTGTTATCTTAGTTGCAGCAAAGAACAAGTTCTAGTTGGGGAACCAGAAAGTCCATTTTCAAAGTGTTAGGATTAAATGATGAATCAAGTATAGGGCAGAATAAAACATTTTCAGACCTACATGCCTGAGCCATTTCTTAGAAAACTACTTGTAGATGCACTCCAACAAAATGAGAGTGAAGATCAAGAAATAGGAAAATGTGGGAACTATAAAATAATGGATCTGTTCCAAGAAAACATTGCAAGGAATTCATAGGGTGACAACTCTTCAGTAGGCCAGGTTATCATTAGTCCAAACAGTGGCATAAGTGAGGAAAGAAGTTTGGTCCATCAAGACAGGTAGCAAAATAAAGACACTAGAAGAACATCCAGATTTTATAAATGCAAGGAATTCAAGAAAAAAACCTTCATAAAAGCATTCAAGAAAGAAAATGTAATGCTAATGTACTTTATTCCTTGACTTTGGGATGAATAATATTTATTTAAACATAAAGAAAGTTGTTAATTAATTTATTTTCAACATTTAGGGTCAACCTATAGCGAAAGCATGAAAGAAAATAAATGTTTTAAGCAGAAGGTAAGCATTTTGTATACTTGATAATGAAAATGTATAGTTGTTAGGACTTGAGAGATGAAAGGAGAAAACAAAGGTACAATGGCTAATACTAATTTAGAAAGGGAAAATTCAAGAGATGCTAGCTTATCTATATGAGGGAGAAAAGAACCAAAGCATATTAGCTAAACTTACAAATAGAGGAACTCCTTAAAGTGATATATCTATACTGGGAGGAGGTGGGCACAAGGAGGGGGAGAGGTGTGGGTAAGTTAAATAATTATCCCTTGAGAATTAGTCAAAAGACAGTCTAAATTTGTTAAATCATGAAACAGTAGCAAAAGAACATTATTTAGAGACACTGAAGTAATCTTCAGGGATCTGAAACATCAGGTGGTTAAAAATAATTGTCTTTGAGTAGAGAAATAGGGGTGGTGGGAGGGTTGAGCAGGGGGTTTGCTTTTTATTAAAAATCATTCTTATTTTAGTTTGCAGTCCTCTTCATGTTATTATTTTGAAAGAAAGAAAACAGAGAGAAAAGCAGAAAAAAAAATGCTGTGGAAATAAGCAAAAAGTAATCCACCAATTTTTCAAATATCTTTGCCAAAGCTTTATGACCCATTATGGTCAATTTGAGCTTTTTATTATTTAGACTTACTCTTATATTATTTAGACTGAGCCAGGATTTTATCAAATTTTTCATACTAGACCTCCTTTCTTGATAATTAATCATTGTGTTTTTTTCACTCCCAATTTTTTCCATTCCCAGTCATTAGTTTCCTGATTAATATGCACTTTCTGCTCCATTTATGAGCAAGAAAATACTTCTGTTAAATACACTCAGCTCTTGCTTTGCAGAGTACCTAACTGGTCAGCAGACCATCTGGAACTGGGAGGAATATATTAGAAGGTAGAATCAGGTCAACCAGCAAATGACTGTGTGGAAAATATCCATAAGGGTAAGTGTCCAAGGCAAGCTCAATACAGCTAATCTGGCAAGGCACAACCTTGAAGACCACTTTCAGGGATTGGAGATATTCTGCAGAAAATAAAATCCTCAAAAGCATTTGTGTTGCTTACCACCTTCCCTTGGTCAGGGTCATAGAAACGTTCCAACAGCTGAACACTGGTGCTTTTACCACATCCACTGCTTCCAACAAATGCCAAAGTTTGCCCTGGACTAACGGACACTGACAGGCCATTCAGAACTTGCACATCCGGTCGAGAAGGATATGTAAATTTACAGTTCACAAAGTCAATCTTCCCCTGGAAGTTGTCCTGTGGATGGGAAGACTGAAATTATACATATGTTCCTACTGGAATCTAGATTGTCTTCAAAGTGCAAAATATAGAAACAGCAACTTAATGACAGGGCATTCCGTTCCCCATTCTAACAAGTGTATAATGAAGGGAGGTTTGAGCAATAAAGTTAAAGATATTTTATTTCTTATTCCCCCTTCTAGTCAAAGGGATTTCCTCGTCATTCATTTCTTGACATTCTAAATGGGAGAGAAGAACCAAAAGATTTGATTACACCACAGAATTAGTGACTGTCCAAACCCCTGCAGCTCTATTTTCTCAAAGACTTATGATAACATTATCCCTGACATGACCTAGAAAGGTATTTGAGAATTGTACCACAAAAGTGAACATCTTCAGTTGTACTATCTGAACTATGAATTCTGGAAATGAATAGACATTTAATAGACCACACAGATTTTAATTTAATTGAACTGAAGGAGAAACATGTCATTTGACCAATTTAAAAATAGTTCTGAACTTAGTTTAGCTTCATTGGGACTTTGATTTGTTTTTGTTTTTTCTTGGTCATACTAAAATATTAAAAACAAATAGACACAAAAAGTTAAAAACACCTGTGGTGACTATCAATTAGACAGTAAAGATATTTTTTACATCAAATTAATTTTCTGGGTATCCACAGGACCTAAACTTGGAACTCAGATAAACATTGATCAAATTGATATTATAAGACAGAAAGAATTGGTTTTTCTATATCCCCTACCCAAACATCAGTGTCAAGCATGGTGACTGAGTAGGTCTCAAATGACATCTAGCTTTATTCATTCTGGAACTGTGTATGATATTACAAAGAATTAGTATGCAATGAATAGCAGTGACTGCTTCAAATGCCATCTTTATGAATAATTTTAATATGAATTTACTTTATTCATTTACATCTATAGATCTACTGCTTATCCATTCTGATTGCATATGAGTAAACCCATAGACCATAGGAATTTAGAAGCTAAGTAGTAATGTAGAACCAGCCCAGTAGCTGTTCTGTACACCCATATCAGCATAATCTTTCCCCTACTGCCCTGTTACCTCACCTCAGTACTTACCCATTTTTCACCTGCACTACTGTATACATTGATTGGAGGTTGGCGGTCCAGCAGTTGAAAAAAACGTGCAGCTGATATTTTAGCTTTGGCATAACTTGGGGTGTAAGAAGCGGCTTTCCCAAGAGCGGTCGCACTCAATATAACTGAAGAGATCACCCTGCAATTGGATAGACACCCAGGTAGAGACAGGTAGGTGTGGTTGGTATGATGGTCTAAGAGGCAGGAGGTTGGGAGTCCAGGCTTGGTCTGCTAGGAGAGAACTAAGTAACCTTGAGGAGGTCACTCTAGACTTGTCTGGGAATGTGATGGTTGAAGCAATCATTAGTTTTCAAATTATGTCTTAAGAAAAAAGAGTGAGTGGAGGATTCAACAGGGGAATGGGGTGAGAGCTCAGATAGCCAAAACCTGCTTCAACTATCATAGCCTCTCCTTTAAAAAAATTGTTTGAGAAAAAAGACAAAAACTGAGGCTTGAGAGGAGAGTGAAAGATGCTTGAAAGATCATGTTTTGAATCTATGACATGTGTATAAAATACAATAACCGGTGACAGAAACATCATTTCTGTACAAGCTTGCATGTAATTCATGCTTCTTCAGACAGCATGAGAAAAATGTGGTCGCCTGCACCCTTCTGTTTGTCTAGCCTCTGAATATATTCAGCATTCGTGTCATGAATAAACCAATGAGTAATAAATAAATGAACTATAAACATGGTGAGAGAGAGCTGTGATGCGGTTTGGACGAGGATGGGAGGGGCATCCTCCAAGGCTGTCTGCCTGCTGGGCCATGCAGAGGGCCTGCTCAGTGCTTATGGGGTGGTGACGTGTGTCTTACTACTCCATTAAAAAGTAGGAAATGTTTCAGGCCAGAGTTGCAAACTGAAAGATCTCAAGGAACAAATCCAGTGCTCAAGGAAAGGAAACGCACTTAGAATAAATTGGCAAAAGATGGAAGGCGATCTTTCTGATCTTTCTTTTAAAGAAAAGCCAGAAATGGGGAGTTTTCTGTGGTCTTCATATTTTCACATCTTAAAAATTCCTACAAAAACAAAACAAGTCAACAGTTTGTCATTTCTGATTTGGGTTAGTAGTTGTAAATATGCAAAAGTTTAGACAAGAAATTTTCTTGATTGGGATGGATATAGCCAGGCAGGACAAAGGAAATAAAAGAAAGACCAGAAGACAGAACTCATGGCTTGGGAGTGAGTTGGAAAGAATCAGTTTCTGCTAGGATCACTTTTCATGTGCCCTCCAAGCCTTTCTCAGATATTCCCCCCGTCACACCCACGCACATGTGCACCCAGCAACTTGTTAACTTGACACACTTAGGCTTTCTCCTCTGGAAAGGAGAGAAACTGGCCTCAGAGCTAACCTTATAAGAAAAGCAAACTCCAGCTATAAGAACGAACATAATATCCACTGTATTGGCCTTGGTTGTTTCTACCTGGTATGCATCAGCTAGTAACACGCTCTCTTTGTGGAAGAAAAGTAGAATTCAAGTAAGATATTTCTGTGAACAATCTTGCTCAAGGCTTCTTGATTTTTCTCAGCATTGACCAGTGTGGTAGATTGTAGAAGTGGCTAATCATCCTCTGTGTGCACCTTTTTACAATATGACTTTTTTACTCCGCTTTGATATGTGACTTATAATAAAAATATTTATATATTAAGCACACAGCTCCTAATCCCCTTGGAATTTCCTAAGTTTTGAGAACTATCAAACTGGTTTTTTTTTATTATGTTGATAGGTGAATTTTGGAAATACTAAGATTGGTGCTCGTTGCCAGTGGAACCAACACCGTGATTTGATGATTAAAGATTAGAACTTTGAACTCTTCCATATTATGGGAGGTGAGAGGGGTTGGAAATTGAATTCAATCAGCAATGATCAGTTATTTAATCAAGCATGCCAGTGTAAATAAAGCCTCTATAAAAACCAGAAAGGAAGGAATTGGGAGCACTTTTGGATGGTGAACATGTAGGGATTCAGGAAGAGTAGCACCCTCAGAGATCACAGAAGACCTGTATCCCTTCCTACATACTTGCTGTATGTGGCTTCCCATCTAGGTGTTCCATAGTTATATCCTTTATAATGTGCAAGTAATCGGGTCTCCCCTGGTGGCGCAGGCAGTTGAGCGATGCGCTGTGAAGCTGTCCACAGCCTCTGCAGCGCCAGTTCAATCACGGCTGGCAGGCGAGGGTCCCCACGTGGCGCAGCAGACCTCTGCTGTCTTGCCTGCTGCTCCCCTCAGCAGTGTATTTCATCAGTCTGCCTGTTCTGTTCCCCGCTCTGTCTCTGGTGAATCCTCTCACCCTCCCGTGCATCTGGCCTGTACCCAATTCTTGTATAAATAAATAAATCTTTAAAAAAGTAATGTGCAAGTAATTCAGTACGTAAGTGTTGCTCTGAGTTCTGTGAGCCCCTCTCTAAATTAATAGAACCTCAGGAGGAGGTTGTAGGAACCTCTAAGGCCAGTGAATCAGAGGCACTTGTACTTGTGATTGACATCTAAAGACATGTACACCTCAGGGGGCTGAGTCTGTAACCTGTGGGATCCAGTGCTCTCTCTGGTGTCAGAAGTATTAGATGACAGTAGTGTGAGAACAGAGGAGAAACATACGGAGCTCTCATCAAAAGGTGGGTTCCATTTCTCTATGGAACCATTCCATTTAAATCTAGGCTTCCTTGTATAACTTCCTTTGGTCAAAGAGGTATTAGAAAATAAAATGCACACAGGAATGAAAATTATTTGTATGTTGGGACTTCTCTTTTGTACTTGGAGCTCTTGAGCCTATTAGGTGGAGAAAACAAGTTCACCTGCCAGAGACGCCATGTGGGACAGAAGCCCACTCAACAGCCTGAGCTGACTCAGCCTGAGTGAAACACCCAGCAGCACAATTTACAATAGCTAAGCTTTGGAAACAACCCAAATGCCCAAAAATAGATGACTGGATCAAGAAGACATGGTAAATATACACAATGGAATATTACTCAGCACTCAAAAAAGATAAACACATGAAATTCGCAGCAATATGGATGGAGCTAGAAGGGATTATGCTCAGCAAAAAAAGCCAGTAAGAAAAAGAAAAATACCAGATGGTCTCACTCATAGCAGGGATTTAGAAAACCTAAATAAGGGACCAAGAAAAAGAATAACTATAAGAAAGAAAAAAATCAAAACAAACAACTATGAACCAGAGACACACTTTGGTGGGGAGGGGAAAGGAGGGTTGGGGTCAAAATCAGGGGGCTGCAATTGTATGGGGAATATAAAAATAAAAAAAATAAATTAAAAAAAAAGAAAAAAAAATAGTGAAACACCCCTGACAATCCAGGGTCCTGAGAAATAAACCCCAAGGTTGGCATGGTTTATTAACAGCAAAATTTAACTGATAGAACCTGGCTACACCTCCCTAGAATTTTGATCATTTAGACTGAATAGTTCTCACCTGAACACAGAGCTGTAATGGAGTCCCTCACTGGGGATTAAGTAACCTCCATATCTGTAGGAAGCAGAATTAGCAACAAACGGTATGCACTGGGAAAAACCAAAGCAGAATCCATAAATATTGGCTTTTCGAATGGCTGTCTTGTATGGCTTCTCCAACTCAGTCTCAAATGCCTCGATAAACCGTCTCTCCTTTCCAATTCCAGCAACAGTGCGGATATTACTGAGCGCTTCACTTACAATCTGAAGAAGGAAGAAAAGTCTTAGGAATCAAGAGTAGATAGAACTACTTTTGTGACATTTCAGCCGCTACATGGATTACATCTACTGCAAGTGGCAGAATGAAGTACAAATCAGCGATGGGAGCATTATCTGAGAACACAGATAACATGCTGGAGATTAACTCAGCTAGACTATGAGACATTTCATCAGTTAAACTCAAGTTCTGCTTAATAAGAACATGGCTTCATTACTTGCACTTGTTGTAAAAAAGAGAAGGGGGTGTCTCCCTGATAGCACAGGGGTTAAGTCTCAGTGTTATCAAGGTATCTCCAGCCACTGCAGCTTGAGTTTGATCCCAGCCAGGGAGCTACCCACATGGTGCAGCAGACCTCTCCTCTCTCACAAGCTGCTCCCCTCAGCAGTGTATTTCAGTCAGTCTGCCTGTTCTGCTCCCCACTCTGTCTCTGGTGAACCCTCTCACCCCCCATCTCTGGCCTACACCCCAGTTCTTGTATGCATAAATAAATCTTTTTAAAAAAGAAAAAGAGACGGAGGGTGGGGAAAGGTACACAGGATAATCCTTAAAAGCTTTGTAGCTTGTTAATTTATTTGAAGTTTCTAAAATGGTATCTTTAGAAGAAAGCAAAGGAACAGACAAAACAAAACCAAGTCACTGGATTCTGAGGGCAGAGGTGTCAGAGGAGGAGTGTAGGGGTGGAAGCAAAGTGTGAGGGAGGTCAAGTGGATAGTGGTAGAAGATTATCAGTACTTTGATGGTAGGCATGCATGTGAAGAGGTGTCGACCTATACTCCTAAAAACAGGCAGTATTGTAAGCCTACGTCACCTGAATGAAAAATAAATTAACAAATAAATAATAAAATGGTATCTTCAGATGTTTTCACTGATGGAAGATTATTTAATAAATGAGGTAAAATATTAGATTCCATTTTCTCAAAAATTATATGATCAAATATATATAAGATAAAATGAAGTATAAAGTTTATCTCTTGATCTATAGGATGGATTTGTTTTTGTTTCAATCCACTAGGATTGAATACACTGGGATAAATAATCACTGTTTCTCAATCAGGGTCTGATTCTGAGGCACAAAAGTGAACTGCATCCTACCAATGGCATTCAAAATCCTTTTGACTTCTGCCTACTTAGACAGTGTTCACATCCCTCTCTTTAAAAAGACAAAATCTAGCTCATGGCAAATTTGTTAAAAGAGCAAGTGTGTTTATGTGTGTGTGTATGTGCGATTTCCTATACCTAATCAATGCCTTTGCTACATCCTCTCATTTATCCCAGATGACCAGGTACTAATCAGAACACACTTAAAAGTATACAGCTAACACCTAAGTGTATTTGAAACCTAAACTTTATCTCCTGGTTCTGTTCAGGAAAGACATTTGCCACAAGCCTAGCAGACATTAAAAATAGTAGATAGCTCCTCTCTGTGTGAGTGCCATGAACTGGGGAAACCATTAAGCTGAAAAAAAGGACAAGACTGAAAACTGAACTAGGCATACTCATGAATGAGACTACATTAAATTGGGGTGTGGAAAAAATAACCATTTGAGGGGAAATTGCACTTGTAACCCTTTGCTTGCCTTACCATTTGTCCACCTACTTACACCTGCTCCAACTCATAGCAGCATTAAAGCTTTATTGTCACTGTCTTTGTGTTGAGGCACATATGAATAGGGCTGGTGGGAGGTTTCTAAAAATGAGTAGGAGTGTTTCTAAAAATAAGGATGCTAACAGCATCCTTAAGTTTCTCTGTCCTGCTCATTCTTCACTGTTGTCTGACAGCCACTCAGCCATCAGCAGTATGAAAACCAGGTCTGTAACATTACCTGTCCCGCAACCTCCAGAGCCTCCTTGTCTTGTGAGGCAAATCCCGTCAACATTCTGGTCTGGACCGCTCCTGATAAAGCCAAGAAGGGGAAGAAGCACACTACGACCAGGGTGAGCTTCCAGCTAAAGAAGAAGGCGATGATCATGGCCACAGCGATGTTAGTAATGGAATTGACTATCATCCCAATTTGAGAGCCCGCAGCCTGCAAACCAAAAACAACCAAACAACCTCAGGCACAGTCTCTTTTACCATGATGTGAAAGGTTATTTGATACAAAAAAGATGGATTTAAAAAAAAATTATGATGATAAAATATACGTTCCATAATATTATCATTTTAGCCATTTGTGAGCATACAGGTCAGTGAGACTAATATAGTCAAGTGGTGTAACCATCACATCTAATCCCCAAACCTTTTTATCATCCCCAATAAAACTCTAACTCATTAAATAATAGCTCCCCTTCCTTACTGTCCCTAGCCTTTGACATTCAACTTTCTGTCTCTACAATTTTGCCTATTGTGGGTACTTCAAATAAGTGGAATCCTACAATAGCTGTTTCTGTGTCTAGCACATTCTACTAAATATAATGTTTTCTATATCCATCCACAGTGTAGCATTTATCAATGAAAGAGAGAGAGTTCCCAGATAGTTTCAAGTACATGCAAGAAGTTAATATTCACAATGGCTGGAAGAATTTCAAATCAGTGGAAAATAGAATCTATATTTGATTTTTCAAGTATCTTTTGTCCAAGTTAAAGAAAATAAAGCCAAAATTTTACCCTATGCTCATATTAAATTTGATCTGGGTTAGCAATCTAATTAAAAAAAAACAATGAAAATAGTAGGAAAACTAGTAGAAACCTTTTTTAAAGGATACATAAAAATGTTTTAAGATGATTAGATGTTATTATTTGAATTCTAGTGATTGTGAATAACCTTAAAAAGTCCCCTGCACTGGGAAGGACACAAAAATAAATAAGATTATGGCTTGTTTATTTATTTATCCTAAGAATTAGGTGAGTTAGACACTAGAATGTTCAGATGATGAGTGCGAAATTGGCACACACTTTGTTTAAGCAGCAAGACAATGCTCATTAGGATCTTTCAAAAGTACTATAATGTTGATCTAGTGATTACATTTTCAGAATTTAGAAAGAATCAAAGATATGCCAAATGATGTGAATTGCTTGTAAGGGAAAAAAATCAGGAAAAACTCTAAATAGGGAGTTCTTTACATTCATTACAATAATATATTATACAGTCTTTAGAAATCAATTGTAGAAGAATACATGACCAAAATATGCACATATAAAATGGCTTAAAGGAGAAAGAGATTATAATATAATATATAAAGTGTGACGCAAAGTCTGCAGGAAACATATTAACAAACAAAAAAATCTAGAAGGATTCTGCAACAATAAAGGACACAGGTGGTTCCTCACGCAGGGCTCCTGCAACCCTTGTAAATCCTGGTGATGGGAGTCTTTTGTTTTAATGAGGCAACTCTGGGTGGGTTTCCAGAGGGCTGGTCACTGGAAAGACCAGGTCGTAATTAGAAGCTTAGACTTCTCAGGCCAACCCCTATTCACTTGAAAAGGGGGAAATGCTGCAAATGGAATTCATGATCCATCAAGTCTGGGTGATGAAGACTCTGAAACAATCCCAACAGGATGAGACTCAGCAAGCTCCCAGACTGGTCGGCACTTGGTGTCTGGCATGTCCAGAGAAGGCACAAAAGCTCTGTCTCTTTCTACATCCCTAGCCTTACTCATCTCTTCCATCTGAATGTTCCCCTGTGTCCTTTATCATATCCTTTTATAATGAACCAATGTAAGGGAACTGTTTATCATAACCTTTATCATATTCTTTTATAATGAACTGGCCAATGTAAAAGAACTGTTTTCTTGAATTTTGTGAGCTGCTCTAGCCATTCCTGGATTCCATGAATCTAAGACATAGTTTATGGTAATCTTTAATGTACAGCTGACTGGGCAGGAACACAGGTGAATTCTGGACTTGTAATTAGCCTCTTGAGTGGGGTGGGGCAGTCTTGTGGGACTGAACCCCTAATGGTAAAATCTGATGTCATCTTCTGGAAAATAGTCCCAGAATTGAGTTGAATTGTAGGACAACCAGCTGGTATCTCAGAAAATGGTTTGCCATGGAAATAAAACACACATTCAGGGATCCTAAGTAACAGAAGTGAAGTGTTCTGTGTGAAAGTAGGAGACACATGAGAAAAACACAGGAGGAAATTTCAGTTTTTTCCTCTGTATCTTTTTGTTTCTCATCACTCAATATTTTTCTTTCAAGAGTCTTACAAACAAACCAGTGTCTTTACTGCTACTTTGCTTTCTTTCTCATTCAAAGTAGTGGTGTTGGGAGGCAAATTTGACCTGGTCATTTTAATCCTAATTCCTGGCTTTATAAAGGTGTATCCTCATTTTATGATTGTGTAGAATCCCCTGGATGAGGCTGCCAGTTCTGGGGTTCAGAAACCACGGCTTCACCTCCTTTAGGCAGAAAGACAGCTCTTTGAATGTTTCCAAATTTTTGATAGCAGTCATTTATTTCTTTTCCTCAGCTACCCAACTGGGCTCTTATCAAGCTGCTTAGAACAGCTACTCTTTTCCTAAGACTAGCTGCACTCTGGACATCTGTGTAACGAGGCTTTTTCCATATGATCTTTGTTCCCACCCTCTATTACTTTTTGTGGGATCTGAGAGTCCAGATCTGCAAATCTGAGGAATAACTCTTGAGGAATTTCTTCTCAGTTGTCAGATCCAGAGGCACTCCTAACCCAGACAGAATCAACTGTTGTAGTAATACTGTTTCTGGGCACTGCCTAGGAGACAATGCTGTTGCTGCTCTTTGCTAGCATTAGAAATGGGGAAAGGTATCTCTGGGCTATCCCAACCCCAAGAGTTCCTACTCTATAGAAAGCACACAGGTGATCATTCGCTCAAAAGAAGGATTGTCCAGCCCAGTTAACATAGCTGAGGTCTCTCTCCATCACTTACCCCTTGAACTTGGGAAGCATCTGTAGCAAGCCTTGTTGTCAGTGCTCCAGGGCTATTTCTGGAGTCATCAAACCACCCAATGTCTTGCCCTAATATTGCTCTGAAACCATATTTACGTAGCCTTTTCGTGAGGAGTTCTCCAGATTTAGCAAAAGCATATCCCTGCAATGTAAAAGACTCTTTAGTGATCTTTTATCATGATAAGGAGGGAAGCAGCTAAATCACTGGCTGAAAATAAAATTCCTTACCTGCAGAAATTGAGTACAAAGGGATATGCAGCCCAGAGCTACAAAGAGCAGGCACACGACATTCATCTGTGACCTCTGTTCTTCTTTATCAGGGAGTGAAAAAGTCTTGGCAAGATAGTAAGCAAGAAAGGCACTTTATTATTACAAACAACAGCAAAAGAAATAAATTTAAATATGTTTAAAAGAAAATGATCTTTGGCATTGGCCTAAAAACACTGTCACTTTGAATATACTAATAATGTAACCAGTGTTAACTCTGAACAGATGTACTTTAATTTCCAGCATGGAAGAAAGCCTGGTGAATAAAAACCAATGGTCATGATTTACAGTTTATCTTATTTCTTGGGCTGATAGAGGCATTTATGTGGCCTTTTCTTTGATATAGATGAAAAATATGATGAAATGCCTCAAATCTTTCATATAATAAGGCAAAGAAAAAAGGGAGAGAGGAAAGGAGAAAGAAAAAAGATAAGGAAGGAAGGGAGGAAATTCAGGCTCTGAGACTGTTATCTGAGACAAAACTCAAAAGTATTGTTATGACCTCTGTCTTTCTCACATAATAGATAAAATAAAGATTATTTTCACACAAAGATACCTTGACTGTTATTAGCTCTCCAGGTTATATACTTAGCAAATAATAACATCATTAAAAAAGCAACGAGCTATCATAGCACTGACTGCAATTGGCTTAGGAGAGAAAACATATTTCTACCCATCTGAGACTGAGGTTGTTGAGGAAACAAAGGTGCAGAGAAGTATCAGAATGTGGTCTCAAAACATACAGTAGCAGATAAGTAACTGATAGAGCCAGTTTCAGAAAAACAGTTTCCAGAAGGAGAATCCAGGACTCCTTCCACAGCTGCTCACACACAAGATTCAGCTACCCTCTCCGCTGCTTTTAGAAGAGAGAAAGAGATGATGGGCAAACATCTGGCTTTCCTTCAAAAGTAAAATCCTGAGGTGTATGTTTTTCTTTGTAGAATCAACCCTCTCCCCTTTGCCTTCTATCTCTACACCATTGCTCAGTACATGCACTTCCAGAGCCTCCCCCTATTCAAATGTCAGGTTTATGACAGCTGGGGGTGGGCCCTCTGGTTTTCTTGTCCCCGATTCTTTCTCAAGACCAGGAACAATGTTTGACAAACAGTAAGATATCAATAAACATTTTCTCAAGATGACTGGATTTTTCTGTTTCGTTTCTGTCTTCCTCAGAGACTGGAAACCCCTTTAGGGAAGGGGTCGTGACTGACTTCATTCCCAAGTTCCCAGCACAGGATTGAGGGAAATCATCAACCAAAATCTATTAAAGTGAATGAAAGAGAATTTCAATTGTACACATTGAGGAATATAAATTGATTATTTAAAATATTTTCAGCATAAAATTCTTCATATAACCAGAAATTAATTCTACCAGCCTGGAAGGTCCCAATGTTTCCAGTTTCCTCTCCCTGAAATTAGCATCATTTCTTCACTAACCACAAGGGGGCAGTGTGAAACTGCAGCGTCGTGGCTCGACCTCCCTACTCAGTCCACTGGAATTTGCTTACTCTCCAGGTCTTTCTGTACATGAATTAGACAATTCATGTCTCTGAGGACATTTTTTCTAGTCAAGACCTTTCAGTGAGGCTGGAAGAGGAAGTAGACAGGAAAACTAGAACTTCGAACTCTTGTTTAAAATAATTTATTTATATATATTTTTACATCTGGCATAGTCCCCATAGAATTTCCACCACCAATTTACCCCTTGCTAACTCTGACAGTGTGGTGTGCTGGGAAATCCTTTTTGAAGGTAAGTCTTCAACAAAAACTTCTTGGGCGTTACCACCCAATGCCTGTGTCACCTGGAGCAGGTGAATAAAGTTTTCTATATTCTAGTTTTCCTCCTTGTTGATCTCATAGGACTTGTGTTCTGTGTGTGGAAATTTTGACTGTGAAAAGAAGATTTAGGTAACAAATTTGCAGTAATAAGCTTGTATTGGAATCTGGCTCTACAGCCACACTATTTGGCTTTGAATTCCAGACCCACTGTCTGTTATGCCAAGTTCCTTATGTCTTGCTGTCCTCCTTTGCAAAATGAGAACAATAAGAATAGCCACCTTAGGTGGTTATTAGGAAAGTTTAGTGAACTATTATATGTAAAGTGCTTAGGTAGTACTAAAGCTTTATTATTTTTATAGCAAATCAAATTCCTTGGAATTTTCCTTACTTTTACATCTCTTTACCTCTTCCTGTTTCCTTTCCAGTTCCCCATTTCAATGGTGCAGTCAGCAGAACAGAAAATTGCACAACAGGCACTACCACCTGCTATAAGCCAAACTTTATCATCTGTTCAGCAAGATCAAAACGACCCTGCAATCTTTTGGTATAATTCAAAGCCCTACTTTGTGTTCTGATTTGGTTTGCATTGAGGTAAATTACCTCCACTAATACTGCATTTGCAGCCACAGTATGGGTTTTTTTTTACAGATATGATGCCTGTATACACGTCCTGCAGCTCAAATGAAAGTGCTTAGCTTTGCCTTCTTGCCTTCTGTGTGATGGAGATTAGAGGCACTTTTAATCTTTCAGAGATGTGGAAAAAAGAGTTATCAAAGTGAGTTAGATATGTTAAAACAGCCAACTCATCAAAAATGACAATATCCACTGAGAGATAAACAAAAGGTATGAGGAGAATAAAACCAAGGCAGCTCTCTGCTTACCCCAAGAATCTCGCTGAATAAAAAGGCATAGAGGGGTGTGACTGTCCCATTGATGGCTGCACCCACAGACCCTACCAGCATATAGGGCCATTCCGGAACATTGAGCTTCAGAATCCTCCGCACTGGGGCAGGTTCAATTTCTTCTTCCTCAGGAAAGTCCTTCCCCTTGAGGGGACAGAGGGTCCTATTAATTATGTGAATGTGTACACATTGACATTTTGCTTATCCTTTTTTTTTTTAATTGCAGCAGGCTCTTTGGCATTCACAGATTGAAAAACCATGGTTTGGGGGACCTCCCCTGGTGGCACAGGTGGTTGAGCATAGCGCTGTGAACCTGTCCGCAGCCTCTGCAGCATGGGTTCGATCCCGGCCAGCCCACAGGATATGCACATGCTCATGGCACGGCGAACCTCTCCTGTCTTGCCTGCCGCTCCCCTCAGCTGTGTATTTCAGTCAGTCTGCCTGTTCTGTTCCCCGCTCTGTCTCTGGTGAATCCTCTCACCCTCCCGCATATCTGGGCTATACCCCAGCTCTTGTATGCATGAATAAATAAATCTTTAAAAAGAAATCCATTATTAAAAAAAAAAACAACATGGCTTGGTTGGTCACCAGCGCCCTCAAAGGTCTGCAGAGGCAGTAACCTGTTATTTTGTGAGGGATAGTTTTGAGTTGCTGGAGACAGTGCTGTGAGTTGGAAAGGGTGAGCCCAGAGCCCCCCTCATCTGGAGAATAGTTGGTCATACTTATTTCATCATTGCAACAAATATGTTGGATCTTTGAGAAAAATAAACTTCTAATTAAAAAAATCAAAGATGTGAAAATTTCAAGCTATGTCCTTCATAAATATCAAAGCTCTCAAAACTAATAACTGCTGAGAGCTCTAAGGCAGGCAAGTGTATCAAAACAAGGCAAAATGATGTTTAAAATGTAGTAAGTGATGTCAACGGCAAGAGAACACTACATGTTTTTCCTGTAAGATTTTTCTTAATTAGAACCCAGGAGTAAATGGCAATCCATTCAGACTTCTGAATTCCAGATTTCCTTCATAAGGAGTAAAAATTGTTTCAACATTTCCCTATTCTGATCTCTTTAGTGATCACCAACATGTCAGTGCTAGCAATGTTCTTTTTGAAGGCAAACACAATATCCAGAACCCAATCATTTTTCCTTGCTGTCGTTATTAATCAGGGTTTGGTTGCCAAACCTATTTGTTCAATAGTTTGTTAAATTTATTACATAATTTAAGAAGGATTTTAGGTGGTTAGAGATTTACATTGAATTTTTTTCACCTTTTCTACTAAAGCATACTAAAAAAATCTATATTATATTGACTACAAAACTATTAATTAGCACTATCTTTCAAAAACACAGTAATTTACCCTGTAGGTGGCTGAATGTCAGGAACAGATAACAACAAGGAACTTCAAATAATTTCTTTTGCTTGCAAAGTCAATTTAATTAAATAATTCAATTCAGTTAAAATATAAGCCTGGTGTCATACCCATGCCATTTGAGTTGCAAGCCACAGAGGATGGAGGAAGGCAGCTAAGCCAGTAATTGAATTATTACTGCCTCCACTTCAAGTTCTCTCTTGATCTGCCCTCAACAACTGTACTTGTCATAATCACTCACTCAGCCAGCAAACCCAATGCAAACTCATATTCTCAGAGTTCAAGGGCATACCCTAGTCTTGAGGCAAGACTTTTCCCACTTCCCTGACAGATGGGTGCCTGACCTTTCTGTCTTCTTCATAGGTAGAGTTATGGTCTATGCCAGCTAGTGGAGGTTCATGGGCCAGGTAAGAAAGTTGAGACTTGGAGCGTTGCCGGAGGGAAGCCCTGTAAACAAAGATGAGATCCCATAGATTGTGGGCAGGTTGGGACAGAATTCACTGGTGTCCAAGTTTACATCACACATGTCAAATAAACAGAAATGTTTGGTAGGTCACATGGTAACCAGGTAAGGGAGTTTCCTAGTTAAGTTTGGCAGAGCTATTTTTAGGTAAAGTTAATCAAGTTGGTTGCTCTAGGCCCCAAGCTAAACCCTGACTTCAAAGTGTTCCCAAAGAGAGAGAAAGAGTAGGGAAGCAAAGCTGTCCCACTATTCCAAAAAAAGAAAAAGCTCAGACTCAAATCATTTCAAAGCCACACAGTTCTGTTCACTGTTACCACGGCAATGCTCCATGGTGTTTACCTCCCTTTTGGGAGGTAAAATCTACAATCATTTTGAGAGGTAAAATCTACAACCAAAATGGTCGTAGATTTCTCTTTCTTCTTCCCTCCCTTTATCCTTGATGTTTACTTTTTGTGTAATGTCAGCTGGATACAAATGAACTGGTAGTAGGAAATAAGGCCCCTAGTGAAATTTTCTCCAAGCTATGTAATGGCCCTAAAAAATACAGTTAGTTAGGAAATATAACTAATATAAAGATAGCAAATATAACTAATGTAACAAATCTATTGTATTTATCACTCATTCACACATCTGTTCATTACCCAGGGGCTTACTGGGCACCGGCAACATGCAAACCAATGCCAGGTGCCATGGGGGTTACAAAGCTGGTCAATCCGACTTCCCTCAAAGAGCTTAAATTTTTTTAGAAGAACAACAGGTATACCCAAATTTGGTGTAAAGAATATAGGGAAATTTGAAGGAAAAAGAAATGTATGGCAGATGTTATCATGAAAGGCTTCAGGGAAGAGGCAGCTAGGATGGGATTGGGCATTTGAGGCTAAAGGAAGAGCATTTCTGATGCAGAGGGTAGTGTGAACCAAAGGATGGAGATGGAGAGGCACAGTTCTTCTTACTTATACTTAGTGTAGGACAAATGTGGGAAGTGACTGGCTTGGGTTGTTTTTTTCCCTGGGGTTTCTGGGACAGAGTCTACTCTCCTAAACATCAAATTTGGAAGTGTGTGAAATCTGGTGATTATGTTAAGACCCTCAAGGAAAGAAGCTTCCTAGAAAATGAAGCTAACTGAAAAAAACTAGTGCTGAGAAAGGAATGGAGAGAAACTGCCCCTACTTTGAACAGTTAGAGGCCCCAGCCTTGCTGAAGACCAAGCAGCCTTGAACTATTTAGTTACGCAAAACAAGTCTTCCCCTTTAAAGGTTAAACCAGGTTGGGTTAAGTTTTCAGTGATGTGCCGTCTTAAGTGATAGAGGCATTGCTAAAGACTTGAGAGAAGGGAAGTTACATTATCTAAGCAGCTAATCTGAAGTGACATGATATAAAGAGAGAGGTAGATGTTAGCAATGAGGAGACTTCCACCTCGGCTGTTTCAGTGCAGTCTGCTTCAGTGCATTCATGTAGAATTAACTAAAACAAATATCAACATGTCTGCCTGTTATATAAGCTCATCTAAGGCTTCTTGAGAAGGCAGTAACTCATCAATGCAATTATTTTAATTTGTTCCCATGTTCTGTTGATGGCACTGCCACCTTCTTAGTCACCCAGGTTCAACAGGCTGCATTTATTTCAAGTCCTCTCTTCTTGTTCTTGCACATTCAAACTCTTGCCAAGCCTCATTATGACAAGGCATGAAACCACTCCTCACCTACTCCCTGCTACTACATTGTCCTCTGGGACACCCCAGTTTCTTCCCACCTGTCCTGATACTCTACAGCAATAGAGTCATTTGTTTAGAATAGGTTACTACAGTCAAGGCATCTTCTCCAGAAGGTGTGAGGCATAAGCAGGTGCAGAGAGAGCAGGGTGAGTGATAGGGCTGAAACCTCAGCTCATGGGTCTGAAAAAAACAACTCACAGTATTGGAAACCAGGGTAGGTGTATGTAGGAAAGGAGAGGATGACAAAATACAGTTGACTACCTCCCAGTTCTGAGCAGGGGAAGATGTATATCCTTGTCAACTTGGATTACTATGACATTTCTTGTCTCACTCTCTCCACCCCCCCCCACTTCACCACTCCCAAAACACACACATCAGTCCACCTATCTAGCATAGGCTGTCCCTATGAGACCATGGCAGTAAGGCGCTAGGCGGATAACTTGCTACCTGCCAGTTCCTTCTCTGGTCCACCATGACACCAGGATGAGAATTCCATCACAACACTTTTCAGGAACCTATGACATGGGCCACTCCCTCCTAGAAGCTGTCAATCACTTTTTACCACAAATAATAACAGCTAATTTAGGGAATAAATGTTCTTCCTCTCTCTCAAGATTATTATTCAGAAAATTAATTACTGTTATTCATTAAATTATTCTTGAACATAAATATATTATGAAAGAGAGATTTAACTAGTCAAGAGAAAGGAAAAATCCAAGAAAATAAGATGCAAATTAACATTTCACTTAGTTTAGTGTTTAGCAAATATATATATAGTAAATTTATATGTATCTGTCAATAATACAAAACACATTGAGATATTTTTAACAGGCTTGCATCAAAATTCTTTCTCTGCAAGAGGTTAAAAGCTTCTTTCTGTGTGTAGACTGTATTTCTGAATTTCTCATGCTAGTCAACAAAATGTAATTTATGAGAATAGCCAAATAGGAAATGTTTATAATAAAAATGGTTATCTGGTCCTAATATAAACTGTAAATAAACTACTAAGAATAGGTAGAATTTTATTCATCTGAAAAGAAATCATTAATTTTTTTGTTGACTTGACCACAGACTACACCATTTCACAACATTTAACCTAGTGATAAAAAGAAATGCTTACACATTCTCTGTGTTTAAGAAATTAGTTGGTATCATCAGGTTATGATTCTAATGACCCTTATAATTTAATTTTTTAATTCCAATCAAGAAATCATGATTAAGCATAATGACAGTTGTCTATAAAATTTATTTAATAATTTTGGCCAATTTAATAGTTTTTACTTAGTAGAGTAACTTGAAGTTACTGTTTATTATTTTCCAAATTCAGCACAATGTGTTTCTTAAAATTTTCCTGATAGACCTGTTCTCAAAAGGAAAAATAAAAAACCCTAAGCATAAACTCAGTGAACTATTGTTTGAACATGGTTCAAACTACTTGGAGTAGCTACCCTATGTCTTATTTTAAGCCTCTTCAACCACTTTCCATTAAGCAATTAGCTCTCTTGAATAGGCAAGTCCTGAAACAGAGCCCTTGTTAAGAGCACAGTCTCAAAGTAAACATTGAAATAGTTAGGGACAATTTTAGAGAAATATGCTGTCTTCCCACTGCCTATTAATAATCTCTTAACTTAAGAGAGAAACAACCTTGAATAATATTCTCATGAATAAAGCAAATGCCCCTGGACAAAATTCTTCTTAATACATACACTTTTAAGATATATTTTTATTGAGGTATAATAATTGATATGTAACATTGTATTAGCTTCAAGTGCACAAAATAATAATTTGATATCTGTTTGTATTATCAAATGTTCACAATAAGTGTGGTTAATATAAAGACTTAATATTTTTAGGAATTATGTTATTGAAACTCTTAAACCACAACAAAAACCAAAATTAGTAGTCTCACTAATAGCATACTCCAAAAATAGTTTTTGAAACTGAATGTCTAGATATTGAGCCAAAGGAAAAAAAATAGTTCATTTTTAATGAAATTCTCTTTCAACACTGGAAAACACATTTTTTAATTTCATCTTGGTAAGGAATGATTTGACATTGGATGGTTCACGCTGGGAGCAGTTAGATTGTAATTCAATGGCAGCTTGGTAGGTTAAAGAGTAGAGCTAAAGGCATGAGTTTGACTTCAATGTTAGACAATGCTTCATACCCAGTTAGCTTTGGAGGAAATAACTCAACCCAGCTCTTTTAAAAATCCCCTCTAAGTTCAACAAACCCATCTTAGGTCTATAGCGTCACTATCGTGATTCTACTCTTAATAAAATTAGACCAAAGTTAAACAAAACAATCCCAATGAACTGGAGACAGAAATGTCAATCTGGCAACCAAGGATTCATTTGCATATTCACATTACACAAGATCTGAGGCTATGCTTAGGGGTCTCCTTGAGGTACCTCCTGAGATATTGCCTCGTGATCATAACTACACAGGATTAGCAAGATAGCGGAAAGCTTTAAAAATGTCCCCATGGCTTGAGCTTACCTTAAACTAGCCTGGTAGCTCCCTCTGTTAAAGGTCTGTTTGCTCTCAAGTATGGCATCTTCAGTTTCATCTTTTCCTATCCAACACAACATGAGTGATTCCTTAGTATATTCCTTAGTGTATATATGTGTGTGTGTATATATATATATATATATATATGCAGAACCACATCAAAATAAAACTATTTCATTTAAACTATTTAAAACTATTTTTTTCAAAGTTTAAAAATGTTTTTAAGCTTTATTTTACAAATACCAAATACTAGAATATATAATTCCAAAATACTAGGCAAGATTGAATGTTTTGAATTGTGTCATAGCCTACATGCTATTGTCACAGAAAGAGATAACCTATAGCATGTGTACTAAAGACTTAAGGGAAATCCAGCAGAAGTGGCAAAATAATGATAGACTCACCAAATTTATAAAAAAACTTTTTAGAATAAATCTCATATATTTAATGTATGCAGTAGTTACACCCAATGGAGTTCATGATGGGATAGGGTAGAAAAAGTTTGGAATAGATGGTCAACATAGATTGGGATAAACAACCAAATCTGAAAGGTCATACTGGAAAAAAGGAGGGAACACTAAAGCTTGAAGTGTCTATCTGCACTAGTGAAAATAAGCATAAAACTTTCTAGTCATTGATTAGTAAGTTATATACTAGTTCACTCAGCCAATAACAAGAGCGCCTACTGTGTGCAAGACCCTCTAGAAAGTTTTTCATATTTGAATAGCGTGAGTGGGCTGAGGTGGGTGGGTTGAAATAGAAAGTTCTTCCACAGAAAACCTGGGTTTTAGTTTTCTGACTTGACAAGGAATTTGACCTCCTGAGCTTCTGTCATTTTCTTTATCATCTATATAGTACCTCCCAGGGGTGTGGGGAACAAGTAAAACTGTGCATTGAAATGCATAGAAATCCATTAAACATCATATATGCTAAATATGAATACAACGAACAAGCATAATAGGAAAGGCACACACCCTTTACATCCTCTTCATTAGGAGATGAATCTCCTTGACCTTGCAAAGTCACTAAAGTAAAGTAAACTCCTTTCCTTTTCAACAGTTCTTCGTGGGTGCCTCTTTCCACTGCTGTACCATGTTCAAAACCAATAATGATGTCTGCAGCTCTAACTGTGGACAGACGATGAGCAACTGAAATGATTGTGTGGTCATGCTGAATCTGTAAAAATGTATAACATACTGTTAAATGAGACTGTAAGACAACCCTGACATTGACCTTTAGGTCATCTCAGAATCCACAAGTCAGTCATAGTATTGGTTCCTGGGAAAATCCTTAAGTAGGTTGTGAGAACATTAGAAAAGACCAGAATACTTTCTCAAGGCCATAAACATAATCTTGTGTTGAACCAGTTGTTGTTATTTATCAACAGCTAAAAACAAATAAGGAAAAATCTGAAAATCATGTAAATGACTTAACAAAATCTAAAATTTTATAATGTGCAGTTTTGGGAATTAAATCATAACTATGAAGTGATTTTCTGTTCAACTATGGGGACTATTGCAGTCAATATTTTCTAGATGAGATACACTTGCCATGTTACTAGTGGCTAATGTCCCCTGACTCCCTGCTCCCTCTTTCTCCTGCCTTCTGTAGCAGAGCTCCAGCATTTCCATACAGACTTGTAAACTCAAACTTTCAACAAACCTTACTCAGTGCCCCTTGCACCATGGCTTCGCTCTCATTATCCAAGGCTGAGGTGGCCATGTCCAAAAGTAGGATCTTGGGGTTTCGGACAAGTGCTCTTGCAATGGCTATTCTTTGTTTCTGGCCACCACTCATGTGGCCTCCTCCTTCTCCAACAAGAGTGTCAAATTTCTAGGAAGAAGATGACACCAGTAATGAAGAAGAGAAAACTGATGGTTCCTGACAGTGATCCATTACCAGTTCCATCCTAGTATTCTCCTTAAGCATGAATTTCACAGGTCCAGCTTTCTTTTTCTTTTTTTTTTTTAAAGATTTATCCATTTATTTATACAAAAACCAGGGTACAGGCCAGATGCGTTGGAGGGTGAGAGGATTCACCAGAGACAGAGTGGGGAACAGAACAGGCAGACTGACGAAATACACTGCTGAGGGGAGCAGCAGGCAAGACAGGAGAGGTCTGCCGTGCCATATGGGAACCTCGCTGGCTGACCAGGATTGAACCAGCACTGCAGAGGCTGTGGACAGCTTCGCAGTGCGACGCTCAACTGCCTGCGCCACCAGGGGAGGCCCAGGTCCAACTTTCACTGAAAGAAATAACCTTTCCTGAAATAGGTTATTGTTTAATCAATATTTATGTGCAAGATAAAGAAATTGATTTATCCCCTCATTTCCAGGTCTATCGGGCTGTGCAAATGTTTCTTTGGCTCAACTGTGTTTCCACTAAAGTAAAAGTTAATTAAGGTCCTGAAAGTGCATTTTAGAGAATTAAGCACATATCAATGTCTTGTCCCTTTTTCTCTAGTTAGACAACAGAGCAAAACAATGCTAAAGCTATCTTTGTATGGTAAATAAAGATCAAACTAGCTTCATAATCATTACCTCTACTCGGCTGGAATTCACAATGAGTTGGGGCTATCGCACTCTTGCTTTTTACTAGATCAGTGTGCTGAGCTCTTTACACATATCACCCATTTAGTCCTCACAGACACCCATGGGGAAGGTACTGCTACTCATCTCACCTGATGGGTGAGGAAATGTCAGGATGCGAGGGGGTTAAAGCAACTTGCCCAAATTCACAAAGCTCACAAGTGGAGAAGCTAGATCTATACAAAGACACTCTGATTCTAAAGCTTCACGCCTGTTTTTCCTTTTCCTTCCCACTTTGGACTTATAAAGTTTCATGCTCTTCAACCACTAAACTATATCATCCTCACAGCTGCACTCCTTTTCATACAGGCCATCTCAAAGAATGAATAAGAAGTGCTCTAAAACACAGTCTCTGGACAAGGACTGTGAGCCTTGTCTCTCCTGCTACTGTGTAATCTTGATCTTGACCGCTCAGAACCCGATTTCTCTATCTGTAGGTGGGAATAATAACAATAGGTGCCTGACAGGTGGTTGTGAGGGCTGAATGAGTTGGTGGATGTGTAGAACAGTGCTTGCTGCAGTAGGCACTCCATGTGTCAGATAATAATAATGACCCTTTTTTGACTTTGCAGGGTATTGGCTACAAAATTTATATAACAATATGGAGAATTTTTGTTGTCATTATTTAAAATGAATATAAATGAGGAATTTTTGAATGTACAAGAATGAGGACACAGTATTAGCTACTTATGTACAAGAAAAAGAAGAACAGTGACAATGATAGACATCAAAAAGTGCAGTACAAGTCACAGCCACGTAATGAATTTATTGTCTCTTCAGACTAATGGCTAATAGATGGAACAAGGAAACTGTATCTATGCCAAAGGGAACTTTTTTTAAGTTACCCAGCTTAGCATATATTTAATTTATTGACAACATGTTTCAGAAAAAGAGGAAAATTCATGAAACTGACATGATATTAAGAATTTAAAAATTTAGACTCCAAATGAAAAAACAATGTGTATTATTATATGACATTTTTTCCTTCTATGACTTCTTGGATTCCGCCCCCCACACACCAGAATGAGAAGCTTGAGGTACCTGTGGCAGGTCCATGATGAAGTTGTAGGCATTGGCTGCTTTGGCAGCTCGTATTATATCTTCTGTGGTCGCATCTTCTCTGCCATAGCGAATATTTTCTGTGATGGTGGTGGAGAACAGAACAGGCTCCTGCTCTACTATCCCAATCTGAGCTCTAAGCCACTGAATGTTAAGAGAACGAATGTCATGGCCATCCAATGTCACCTGGAGAACATGAGTACAATGTCACATCTTAGGGTTCTGGATCATGATATTGTGTTGTGATTGACCTATGGTGAGGGAAAAATAGAAACTGGCAAGACTGTAATGGAAACAGTCCCTCTTGTAATGTGACTATGTGACAATGTAATGTAATGTCTATGTGACAATGACAATATATAAATGAGATCAAATACAGCCGTAAGACAATTCATTGTAGAAACACAAATGATGTAAAGATTACTTATTTTAAGTTGATTGGTCCAGGAATGGAAATGTTTTCTTCTAATTCCTCAATAAAGAGTCAGTTATTTACCATACTTTCAATATTTTTATTATCTTTAGACTTGGGACTAAAAATGGAATTTGAAAGTCCTTAATGAAGACGTGAAAGGCAAGTGTCTTTCATTACATTGGTTCTACATCTTACAGTAAAACTTGCTTTCTGGCTAAGCTCATCAAATAATACTTTCTTGTTCAAAACCAAATGAAACCTTATGTAGGTCAAGATAATAAAAATAACTACTAGCAAAATGTGGAAAAAAAATCTGGGGCAAGTCTCAATTTCATTTGTAAAATGGGCATATTTATTTACCTTTGTGGGTCATTGTAAAAATAATCATTTTTATAAAATATTTGACATATTATATTGATAAATGACAATTATTAATATTTTTCTTAGCTGCTGTATATATTTATAATCAAATAAACACAGAAAAAGATAGCTTGTGAAATTATGTATTTTTTAAAAAACTAACATCTTAAGGTAGTGAGTCAAGATCTGTTATCTGTTAATTCTAGTTATGTAATGTTTTATGCTTAGCATTTGGAAACAACAATTATTTGCTGCAATAAAAAGAAAATAATGAAAATGTTAGTTCACTGAAGAGGCTACAATATTATTTGGGATGTATCTGCACTGTGCGAATGGATACGTTATTCACTGAATACGGCTACCAGGCCAGGAATTAGTCCAGTCAAGTCAGTCAAAACTCACTAATTTTAAGAACCCTGCACCCCTATTTTCATAGCAGCATTATATTTACAATGGAAACAACCTAAGTGCCCCCCAAAACAACCTAAGTGCCCCCCCAAAACAAGAAGCAATGTTGGCTATACACAATGGAATACTACTCAGCAATCCAAAAAGATAAACTCATGCCATTTGCAGCAACATGAATGAAACTAGTAGAGATAATCTGAAGTGAAATAAGTCAGAAGAAGAAAGATAAATACCAAATAATGTCACTAATATGTGGAATATAGATCAACCAAAGTAAGAAACAGAGAATGAATCTTAGAAGCTAACGCTTGAAAACTGACTAAAGAAATGAAACATCAAAAGAGGGTAGGACGTGGGAGAGAAGTAGGAACAAAGAAAGAAGAAGTACAATGGACTGTGGTGGTGGGTTATGGGTGATTTGGTGGCAGGTGCCCTACAGGGGCAATTTCTATTGTTAACCACAATTAAAGGAAAAATAATTGTTCTAAAAAACAAAACCCCAAACACACTAAGTCAACTATACCAGAGTCAGGATGCTCTCTGTGTGTGCTAGGCCTTTGTTTTAACCAACATACATCCATTTGCACTCTCCTGTCCCCACATATTGAGAGATTTCTGGAAGATACACACCATGCCTTTATTGGGGTCATAGAATCGCTGAATGAGCTGCAGTGCTGTGCTTTTCCCAGCTCCACTGGATCCTACTATAGCCGTCATCTCCCCTGATTTAATGACCATGCTGAGATTATTCAAAATCTGCAGTAGAAAAGAAAAAAACAATGTTCAGGTTGTCAACAATTAGCCTATACATTAGGATGCTTGTGAAAACACTGTGTGTTTACTTATGGTCCCAAAGCAATATCCACTTGCACCCATCTATAACCAACAAATTAGTAAACAATGCCTGAGAAGAGGTTTTAGCATTTAGCATATGACTTATTTAACTGATAGCTACAGCCAGCAAAATGATGTGCTGTAACACAAAGTTAAAAAACAGAAAGTAAATACCACAACTTTTAAAAGTATGTTCCACAATCTAATTTTGAAAACATCTAACATACTAGGATACCTCAAGGAGATTGTCCCAATTAGTTAAGTCAAGAAAGCCATTAAAGTTCAAAATATAATACCAATTACTGGTGACAGATTTAACAATAAACTAATTTGTAAATCTAACCTGTCATATACTTGCTATTTGTGTGGACATATTATCTGAATAAATTTTATCTGACAAATGTTTGTCACTATAAATGTTAGCAACTAGTGCTGGGAAGCCTAAGGAGGGCAAAACCAGAAACTAATTATTATTCATCTGCTGGCTCTTTTTACCAGTTTAGTGTGATTTTTATACTTATTATGAAAAGGTGGTTTGGAGTCCTCTGTGTGATAAAATCTCACATGTCTTTCATTTACCACTGGAGAGTTGGGCTTGCAAATGTATTTCCACTTCTTGGACTGTATTAGGTGTAACCTTCCCTGGCGGAGTTAGGCATCAGATGGTACTTGTTACCATCATAGCCCCTATAATGTGGAGCCCAGCAGGGCTAAATACATACTCGTGGTATGAATGAAAAATATTTTGGGGTCTAATAAAAAGATTTTATAAAACAAACTGTTGGTATTAGAAGTATATGACACAACAGAAATAAGTATATTTTAATTCAAACAGTATTTGTTGAGCAGCTATTATGAGCTGGTTATGAGCAGATATTATAAAGGAAGTTTTTAGCCATCCTTTGAAAATCTTTACTGAGTGAGTACTACCTTGTGATTTATATTTTACAAAACACTTTAATATATGTTATGACATTTAATATTTACATACATGTTACATGTAATGTTAATAAAAATATACATCAAAATGTAATCGGAATTAAAGATGTACATACAGCATATATACTATTGTTATCTAGTACACAGATCACATACATTATAGGTACATAGTGTCAAAATTAAGTTGCACTGGAATTAGTTTCAGGTTAATTTAACTGAAATATTAATTACAGTGACAAATACTCAGTCAAAAATGAGGAATAAGTCTCATTTCAAAGCCCATTCATTCAGGAGGAGTAGATTCTGATTTTCCTGTAGAGGAGGTTGGCTTTAAAGATACTTGCTCAGTAGGTGCAGGAAAGCTAAATTTTCCTTACCACTGCCCTGGACAATCACCTAGTACAAGACACGTGAGCACAGTATCTCCAGATCATCTTTCCTCCAAAAACTGACTCAGTGACCCCTGTGAACCTACAGATGGGAAGTAAAAACTACAAAGACAGATTTCCTTGGCCACACAGTTCCCTACACATTCAAGGTGCTCCACCTTCCGCAGTCTCAGAGGAGGTGGTTGCCAGCACCATACTACATAGTTCTGATTGCCTGGCAGTTTATTTAGCTTGTGCCCATGATGACAGGACCTGCCACTCCTTTCAACAGCAGATCATACAGCTGACTTAACCTGAATGTGCTGACAGACTGTGTTCCCATCAGAGGGATTTAAACATTATGGTTATCACAAAGGAATGTGGTTTGTTGCCTAAGAAATTACTCGACACACGAGGATACTTCCAGAGAAACATGCTGCTCTTCCTTGTTCCTGGAAACTGAGTCATACTTCAGAAAAAAAATTTATTGCTCTAGAAATGAATCCCAAAGAAGAAAATGCCGTTGTTTCTGGGGTAAAGATTGGCACTTACCTTCACATCTGGTCTGGAAGGATAGTGGAAGGTCACATTATGGAATTCAATTTCACCCTTAATTCGATCCAACTTGTAACCATCTTCTGACATGCAGTCAATAATGGGATTCTAGAGTGGAATATGAAAGGGACATAGCAACAACATGTATTATTTGTATTTATTGCCCACCTCGGTTTGAATTTACTCACAAAACAGAACAATAACTGGGTAAAACATTGCAGAGATATGCTAAAGGTAAATTGCTTCCACATTAAATATTTATTAAAATAGTAGTATCACTTATTATCATGTACTGAGTATTAATATGAGATACTATATATGTTAATATATGTATATTATACATATTAATATATAAACTAATATACTATACACAATAATAATATGTATAATTGTAAAATATTATTTCAATTTAGATATTGTAGTATTATATAACTTGGAATTATTACATAATTATTATAAAGTTACAAAATTATCACATAATTATTACATAATTTCCTTATTAGTGTTGTTATTTATTGATATATTACTCTGATATGTTATTATATTAATATTATAAAATACCAATACAATAATATAATGTGTAGTACTGATATATAATTAAGAGCATATAATATAGTAATACAATTATATTACTGAAATACCATGGAAGACAATATAGAGAGTTTTAATATGCTCTTTTCATTTTTGTAATTGTTACTACAACCTAAGTAGACAGATCATATATCCAATTTTTCACTGAAGGAAGTAGAGAAGTCAAAGAGAGGTTTAAGTTTCTTGCCAAAGGCCATATGATTAGTTAACTAAGCTAGGGTCCAAATAGTACTCTACACTTGAATATCTAATGAAGATGATGATTAAAATGAACTGAATATCCTCTAGTGGTGTCTTTGAATACTATTCAACCTTCCATTGATAAGTTGGATATCTTCTCTGTTACTCTTAGCAGTGAGTTTAATACAGAACTTAACCATTGTAGGTAATTATTCAAGTGTGATCTCCTATTTAGTAGAATGTGTTTTTGTTTTGATGTAAGTTTCTTTCACTGTGCAGATGTAGTCCCATTTTGCATTTGTTTGGGAGAAGGTATTTAGACATCTGACAAGGGGTTACTATCCAAAATACACAAAGAACTCATAGAATTCAACAATTAAAAAACTCAATTAAAAATATGGGCAGAGGATCTGAATAGACACTTCTCCAAAGATGACATACAGATGGCCACCATTGTTTCTTAGTATTACAGAAATGCAAATTAAAACAACAATGAGTTATCACTTCATACCTACGGAAAAACTACAATCCAAAAGACAAGAAACAAGTGTTGGAGAGGATGTGGACAGAAGCAAACCCTCATAAACTTTTGGTAAATGTGTATGTTGTTGCAATCATTGTGGAAAACAGTATGGAGAGTCCTTAAAAAATTGACAATGAGGGTCTCCCCGGTGGCGCAGCGGTTGAGCGCTGGGTTGTGGAGCTGCCTGCAGCCTCTGCAGCGCCGGTTCGATTCCCGGACTACTCCCCGGCCACAGGAGGAGGGTCCCACATGGCGCGCAGTCCTATCCTGCCACCCGCTGCTCCCCTCAGCAGTGTGCTTCGGTCCTTCTGCCTGCTCTGCTCCCCCGCTCTGGCTCTGGTGAATTCTCTCACCCTCCCATGCTTCTGACTGTACCCAGTGCTTGTATAAATAAATAAATAAATAAGTCTTTAAAAAAAAAATTGACAATGAAATTCCATACCATACAGCTATTCCTCCTCTGGGTATTTACCCCCCCCCCAAGTACAAAAACACTAACTCAAAGAGATATATGCACCCCATGTTTATTGCAGTACTATTTACAATAGCACAAACCAGAAACAACCTAAGTGTCCATCAATTGATGAATGAACAGAGAAAATAGGATACAGAGACACAATGGAATACTATTCAGCTATTAAAAAAAAAGATGAATCCTGTATTTGCAGCAGCATTGGTGAACCTAGTAAACTAAGTCAGACAGAGAAAGAAAAATTCCATATTATTTTACTAATATGGTGTATACAGGAAAACAAACAAATGAAAATAAATAAAGCAAAAAAATAAACTTTTGGATCATAGGACCAATTAGTGTTTACAAAAGGGAAGGGGTAAAGGAGATAGTTAAAATGGGGGAAAGACAGATTTGGGCTTTTGAAGAGTGAATTTAATGTCATACATACACGTGTTAATCATGTTAATTCTCAACAAATGCCTGAAAGTATATGATATTACAGTGCAATTTTACTTCAACTTAAAAAAAAGAATGATCTCCTGCGATCAGAGCACTTCAGGATCAGCACTGCCCTCTTCCACACTAGTGAGAGAAATTCATCACTGCATGGGCTTGGCCATTTTGTAATCTTTCTTTCTCTCAGATCTCTAGTAAAGATAATAAAATATTTTTTAAATGCCTTATTTTTTGTAGTAGTTTCAGGGGGCTTTCAGATTCACCATCTTATTTGAGCACATAACAACCCTAAGAAGGAATGAGAATTTGGATGATTAACATTTTTATGTGGTTTCCAACAATCTCTTTGTACACCAATACATGAAACCCCAAAATATAAAAATATTGAGAATGATAAACACTTTCATCAGGCGGGTTATAGCCTTGGTGTTTGACAAAAATTAATTAATGGGACCAAGGAAATGTTGAAGTAGCCCATTGCAGATGAGGGGCTGGACTCTGCCCTGACATCTTGATTAAGGAAGGGGGCTGCTGGGTAGAGGGTAGAGCTGAGTGACAATTTTGGGAGCCTTTAATACAGAGTGATGCACATGGGCTCCCTCTCTTTTTCATCAGAGCTGCAGAAGGCGGATGGATGCCCAGTTCTGGCTGGGTGAAGGGCCTTTGCCCTCTGCCCTAGGATGGGCTTCCCCTCACCTCAGCCAGCGCAGGCCTTTGCAACATCCCATCAGCTACCATAGCTGCAAGTCCACCTCATACCATTGATGAATAACTGGACCTTGTCCTTATCCCTCAACCCTGTCAAAATAAAGCAGGGATTTTTCTATACCAAAGCCCCCTTTGCATTTGTGGTGGCAGGTGGCCAGTGAGAGGTTCTGACCCAATGACAGTTTTTAAACCCTTTGCCCAAAAGCAGAAGCACCTCTGGATTTCCAGGACATTTCACACTTAGCCCAGGGTACTTTGTCAGAGAGGAAGGCTAACATTGATACCTTCCCCATTCCCTTCTGCTTTTGAATTTTGACTCTCTAGTTTCACCTCCAGTGTGCCTCAATAGATTAACCAGGAAAATTAATAGGCAGGCAACTAGGTTCTTCACAAGTTCTTATTTCCATCACATTTAGAAATAATCCAGTCTTATGAACTTTGTCTTAAAGTCCTGCATGATCTGTCCCCTTCTTATCTTTCCAGCCTCTGTCATTTTCTCACTCAGTTCAATCACACAGACTTTGCTTTAGTTCCTTGAATTCCCCAAGCTCTTTTCCAGCCTGGAGGCCTCTCCCGTAAACACTCTCCCTGCTCTCACTTCCCACACTCTCACTATCCCCAATTCCCTGGACATGGCTGACTTTCTCTTGGTTCTCATATCAAATAAAACCTCCTTAGAACTGATGTCACTATCACTCAATTACAGACTCCTTCCTGCGCCCCAATCATTATCTTATCAACCTATTTTATTTCCTTCATTATATACTTATCAATATCTAGTATTATCTTATCTTTGAATGCGCTCACTTTTATTGCCTGTTTCCCAAGGTGATATGAGGGAGGGCCTTATTTGTTCTGTTTCACTCTTACATTCCTAATTCTTAGAATCACATGGAGCTCAGGATAGCACTTATTAAATGCTGCTGAATTAAGGGCATTGGTAGTTCTCCATACATTTTAACATTGAAAGCAAATTCTTCAGGAGTTCACTACTTCCCCATCCCTCATCTGATAATGGCCTTTACCCCGTGGCTTTTACATACCCGGTCTATTGTCTCAAAAATGCTGGTGGCTGCAGCTCGCCCAGTGGCAAAGGCTTCCAAACAAGAAGAGGCATTACCGAGATTTAAAGCTCCAACTATGACACTGAGGAAAATCTGAAATAAAAGAGATAGATATAGTTTTCATGTGTTTTTGACAATTTATAAATTGGGCTCGCTATCATTTGTCTCTGTGCAAACTGAGATTTCTCAGAAATACGCTTTTGGGGAGTTTAGAAGTTAAAGAGCTCTTTGGAAATATCTAGAATAGTATGTGTGCTGCAAAGCATTGCCAGTTTTTCTACTGTTGAGATCTAAAAGACCACATTATTTTGACTAACCATCTTATTCTACAAACAGAACAGGTTTTGCAATGAGTAAGAGGTCTAAGCAAGGCAACATAAAGTTAGATAAAGTGAGTTAGAATTGGGATATGATCATTTGATTTGTTATATGAATAGTCCTGTTACAGTTTCCTGGTTAAGGGGTCACTGAAACAATAAAGACATTGTGGTTAACTTGACTGTCTTAGAGATGGGTACAAGCAATACTGATCTGCTATGACTACTGCTACTAGTATACTAGTTATAAGGGTACTTGCCACCACGACTACTATACTACTACTACCCTTAATAACAGCAATCACAATAAGGTATATCTCTAACTGCTTTGCATGTATTACTTCATTTAATCCTTACAACAGAAGAGGAAACAAAGGTGTATGCAGGCTACCTAACTTACCTCTGTCACAGCCTGTATTGAGTGGTAGAGCAGAATCTGAAGCCAAGCTCTTGACTGACATTATGTCTAGCCCCCAGTTCACCTGCTGCTGGCTGTAGGCTAGCAGGATGAGCAGGTTCCCAGGCAGACCTGGGGAAGCTGTCCTTTGATTCACCAACCCAGCCAGCTCATTACATTAGGACAAGTGTACCTGATCGGATGAGATCTTTTTACCCAATAACTCACTGTTTTTATCTGTGCTGTTTATAAAGGAAGAGACAATGAAGCAATTTCTCAAGTTAGCCTCAGGGAGGAACGCAAGACTGCTTCTGGTCACCCTTTCAACATCACAATGGGCATTAGTCACATGGCTCCCCTGGAGGATCTTCCATTAGCCACCATCTTTTGGGGACTGAAGTTACTTGCTGAGCTGTAAGTTGGTTCCTGCATAAATGTGCTATTTTTCAGGTTATCAAATGACCCTAGTCTGTGATTTCCATGGACCAGATTCTTCCCACTGGTTATATCACATCAGAGCAAAATACCCCAGAGTCCCTCTCCATTCTGTTTCTTCTTTGTGGTTGGACCCTGGGGTTTCTCAGAATCTCCCAGCCATCTCCTTTCCTCTCCAGTAACCTCTCCATTCCACACTTCATGATAATATGGGCCAGTCCTCTCTTGCCTTGTCCCTGAATTCCCCACTCTCTACAAGGGGACAAACATTCTTTCTTCATCTGTTTTTGTTCCTTTTCCTTAATGGTGGTGGCAATTCCTCTTATAGGCAGATAACTTAAGCTTTCAAGCCCCAAATTCTTTATCTGTTACACAGGGATAATGATAGGATATACCTGATAGAACTGTTATGAGAATTAAATGAGATGATTTGTATAAAGGTGATTAATCCAGTGCCAGTTACATAAATAATAGTGATGATGATGAAAGTAGCACGATCCCCTCCTTAGGAAGTGATTGGCAGCCAGGCAGAGCAGTATCTGTGGTTTAATTAAGACCACCATCATCAGAGGTCTTCCTGCCTCAGCAAAGAAAGCCTTCCACGTGTTCTAGATCAGGGTTCAACAAACATTCTATAAAGGGCCAGATAGTGAATATTTAGGGTATTATAGGCCATATAGCCTCTGAAGAACTTTCTCAACTTCGCTGTCTAGCACAAAAACAAATAGGCAAAATGTAGACAAACATGACTATGATCATGTTCTAATAAAACCTTTTTTTACAAACACAGGCAGCAGGCTGGATTTGGCTTGTGGATGGCAGTTCTCTGATCTCTGGTCTAGAACTGACTCTTTGGGGGCCTAAAGTGAAATTGTGGACAATCTCTTACCCAGCCTGGCTTTGTAAGACATCCCTCATGCAAATGTCTCTCTTGAGATTCTTAGGGGAAGAGTAAGACAGAACAGAGGCAAAGACCTAATAACATCACCAGTAACTTGTATGCATCCCAATAACATATCCTTTATCATCCCAACTATCACACTCTTAAAGCCATGTGGACATAAGTGAAGGACGTAAGTGTGGGAACAGGGAGGAGAAGAGAGACTTGTGGGGAATAATCAATTTGTGGGTATGTCATATTGGAGAAAAAGGGGTCAGTAGCCTCTTGGATGACATATTCAGAGGCAGGAAAACAGAGGTTAGTGAATCAGACCCCACACTCCTGAAATCATGGAGACCTGAGTTCAAAATCCTATTCTGGCACTAGCAGACATAATCCCAATGTCAATCCCATGGCCTCCACTTCATCTTGTAAGTGACAGTATAATAACATCAATTTCAGAACGAAGTTGTGAGTTTTACACTTGGCTGTTATATTAATTACACAGTACTTGACTTCTTGGGCATACTGAATACTGTTATTCTGTTGCTGATATTATTGGTTATAATTGCATCTGGAGACTCAGGATGAGGAAAGAGCAGCCTTCTTCACCTATCAGTTCCCATTCATCTTTTCTCCTAACAGATCACAAAGGGAATTTTTTTTGTCTGTCTGTGTACTAGTGATCCTAATCACAGTCATTTATGTGAACCACTTACCATTTATAGCCAATTACCACAGCCAGTAATGATTTTATGCACTACAAAATGTGATAGGTTAACCTAATTATTAATCAGTTTAGTGGGTCAAAAACACTCAACTCAGTTCATGCATACTCAGTCCTCATGTGGGGTGGGGGGAAGAACAATGTTTATACTGTTAAAGGATTCTGCTCCCCTTCCATTTCTTAAGGCATTAAGTGGAGGCTTGAAGGAAGAAGTTAGAAGAGATGAGGTTAGGAGTAAGAGGTTGGTAACTGATGATTAAATTGTTAGAGAAACATAATATGCCATGTCTGTGCATAGTAAGTACACAAGAAATACCAGCTGAGAGAATGAATTATTTACAGAAGATATAAAATAGCCCACAATCCAACTGGCATGAAACTTGAAGGTGAGAACTGTTAAATTAATTAAATAAGGAAAACATTAGATTGAGGTGGTGTTAAGGCTACCATGGTCCACAGAAGCAAACCAAAACTGAACAGACTTCATAGAGCTTAATATGTAAGGGCAGAAAGGGATGGCAACAAATATAAACAAATGCAAATATTCTTCTTCATTCAAGTACTCTGAAGGAAAACAGCAGCAAGTAATAAATGGAATATAGGATTAGCTGAACACGAAAGGCCTGACTGAGATTCTGAAGAATAATGAGAATCCAGCTGTAAGGAGAGGGGGCTGTAAGCTAAGGAGGAAAGTCTTTGGGAGAATAAGTGGAAGAGCTTTCCTGAACTCAACTACACTTGGTTACCCTGCTATTCACTGCCAATATTCCCTGTCTTCAACTTTATACCCATGATATTATTTGTCATCATGCATTTATGGCGATCACTTAATTATTGCTTGTCTTTCCCACTAAACTAAAAATAAACTAAAAAAATTCATCAGGGCTAAGACTGCATTTCGTTTAGTTACTATTGAAACCTCTGCTTTGTATGGGTCTGGCACATGGTAGCAATACAACAATTCTTGAAAAAACAACTGAAAGGATATTGGAAATTAAAGCAGTTGTGGCATTTGTGCTATAGCATGATTATAGCACAAATCAGCAATAAAGTATGTTTTTATTACCTGTTCAGTTGAGGATATTATTGGTTTAAGATTTTAATAATTCATTATGTCCGTTAGCACATATCTTGTAACATTAAGTTCATCTATATGAGTTGTTATTTTCAGCTGTGAAATCACTGACTTTCCATTTTCCTGGCATATTATCTCTTGGACATGGTCAGAAAATCATGGTTTTACAAGTATAAAACCTTCAATTAATTGGAAATCATAAAATTGCATATCTCATCAATTCAAATGTTCAACTTTCCTTTACTACAAAATGCATAAAGATTGTTTACTTTTGCATATGGACTCCATCAAATCACTGACACTTTTCTCCCTCAGACACTAAAGGAATAAACAAAATGTCTTAACCATAGACTTTTCTGATATCTCTGCAGGAAATACTACACCTAGATCAATGAGATCAAAGTACCTGAATAAGAGTTCCCGGTGTATATTCTCCATCATCCAGGACAAGTTTGGAGCCATACCAAAAGGCCAGTGCATAACATAAAAAGATGAGACACCACATGAATCCAGTAAAGAATCCCATCACTATTCCTTTTCTTATTCCCCAACGTTGGGCAAACACAAGATTTTTCTCATACCTGTGACAAAAAAAAAAAAAAAAAAAACAACATGCTATTTCAACAACAGCAAAAGCAGTAGCAGTAGCAGTAGCAGCAGCTCAAGTTAAAATGTTTAAAACAGACCACAATACAAACGTTTTTAAATCACCCCAAACACAGAGAAGCTTTAGAGAAAAAAAAAATGAGCAGGGGAGGAAGAGAGAGGGGGGTCAAAACAGGAGTGGGAAGAGCACCAGGGACTGTGGTGATGCATCATGGGTGCTGTAGTGGTGGGCACACTACAGGGACTACAACTGAGAGTAGAAATCAAATACTGTCCAAAGATGAATAACAATGTAAAAAAATAAATAATTTTTTTAAAAAAAGATAATGATAGTAACTTCCACTGAGTTAAAGTTTGTTTCAACCTGGCAAAGAAACCCATTGAGAATATAATGTGTAACAAAGTCTCATCACTGATTATTTCTTGGATGAGTAAGAGTAAGCTTTGCTCCCCAAAATAAAAGAATGTGGTTTGTGGAGTAAAATTATTTTCAACACAAATGTTTAGACACGAGGAAACTAGTACTACTTGTGTTTGATTTGTTTTAATTAATGAACATGTAATAGTGAAGGAGCTATTTTCCCCCAGATTTTTGGAACCAGGGTTTGCACTAACTCATCTACATATACTCAACCATCTGCTCTGTGACCAAGAATGCTCTTCTGTAACATGGTTGGCCACATTCACAGCCTAGAACCTGAAGTTCAACCTGAGCCCCAGGCTTCAATAATTCTAAGGTCTAGCCATTAGCAATAGGCATTGTCTTAAAGTGTGGGCATCTAGAAACATCTTCCTACACTCCCCCCAAAAATTTCAGGAAAACCTTTTAAAACTTCTGGGACACAAACTAAAGATCTATCCCATGTCTGTTACCATTTTAAATATATTCCCACTGCCTCTTTCATTAATGATAAATGATCGTTAATATTTTTCATGTAAAGGAAATATACCACTGAAATAGCCCATGAAAAATTAAATAATTTTACTCCATAAACCAGAAGAAGCAAAAGGAAAATAGGATAATGATAATTAGCAACTGTAAATCTATCATCTTTTTTATTTGATGAATTTGGTAGTAATCAAGAGTAACATCATCAAACAAGAGTTCCAACACCTAAGAGTTTAATTAAGTTGGTGGTTATTTTATAAAATCATTACCTAGCACATTGTAAGCACTCAAAAAATTAGAAAAAATGCAAAAATACAAATGACATCAAATTTTTGACAATTGCTATTTTGCCATTTAGGTTTTTATTTTCATTAAGAATTAATCTCCTAGAATTATGATATACCAATGTTGATTTTGTTTGATTGAGGGAAAATCTTATAAGGGTTTATCAGGAGCATGTAGCACAGTGGCTGATTAAAATACATTTAATAAAAAAGTGTTCAAAAATTATCTGCACAATTACCTTTTGGATCATGTAGGTCTTTCCTTGATGGCAGCAAATAGCATTAGAAGCTGCCATGAGGTACAGTATGGGTGCATACACACCTCCAGAGTCTAAAATAAATATCTCACCTGAGAGGACTTTCTAAAAATCACAAAGTGTAGCATCTTCAAAAACTTGGGACTCCTGATAGTGCTTTGTTCAATCTAATTATCCTACTTTGCTACCTCTTGAATAAAATCTCCCTCAGGGTACCATACCACAGACCAAGGTTAATCTGCCACTTTGTATAAAAAGGGAAGATTTTGTGAATTTCTGATGAAATGCGGAAAAGCAACAGACATTTCTTTTAACCAACCTTTCAACCTCTTTTTTCTCACCACCAAAAGCAGCCACTGTTCGCACAGATGAAATGACTTCATCGGCCACTGACCCTGCTTTGGCATAAGCTTTCAATTCATGGTCAGTGAATCTGGACACACTCTAAAATCAAAAGAAAAAAAAAAAAAGAAAAAGAAAAAGAAAATGTGAATTAATGCAAATGAGTAAAAATTAGGTCAGTTTCTTACTCAGTGATTCATTTATCAAAGTAAACATATGGCACAATTTTTTTATTAGAACAGACTCCAATTGTAATGGTGTTCACAGAGGAAAGAATTTGGTTCAAGTTTGATCCATGTTAAATCTCACTTGCAGCATTTGGTTGTTGATATCAAGATAACTCCATTAAAGTCAGTCTTAAAACCCTCTCAGAGAGTTAAGTCCCCCAAAGTGTATTCTGCGAGACCACCAAGTTTTGATCACTATACTAGTGGAGTTTTCAAGTCAACCCACGTCATATTTCTTTTAAAAAAATATATTTTATTTATGCATGCAAGGCCAGAGGTGCGGGGGACGCAAGGGTGAGAAGATTCACAGAAGACAGAGTAGGGAGCAGAACAGGTGGATCCAACAAAAACACTGCTGAGGGGAGCAGCGGATGATACAGGAGAGGTCCTCTATGCCATGAGGGCCAGATACCTGGCCAGGGATGGAACTCGTGCCATGTTATGTATCATTGCTAGTGGCCAAAGGCAGACTTGATAGATAAATACCAGAGGCGAAGGCTGAAGGTCTGAGCAGAAATCATCGTGGCTAGAATGTAAATGATAGAGAGGAGCTCACCTCAGCAGCACTTACACTAGAATGAGAGTACCTAGGCATGCAAAGTGTGAAAAATATTATACCATTTCAACACCACTGCAGGACCTCAACAAACTAACATGTTTTTTACAAATGCAAATAAAGACATTGCATTTAATAGTAGACAAATGACTTTTTCTGAAATTAGACTTAGATTGAGTGCTAGTTAGAATTAAGCACCCCCTCCCCAAAAAAAGCCCTGGCACAGATCAAGAATTAAGAATGGGGAAAAGCAAAATATTGTAGAAGACCAACTCAAAAACCTACAAAGTATATAGTACTCAAAAAAGAGTTTATTTTCCAATGGTTTTCCCAAACTTTTTGCAGTAAATCTCTTATTAGACAGAATTCTATATAGTAAAGAAGTAAAAGTAGCAATTTATTAAAATAGATTTAATTCACAAGTCCATATTTTAAAAAATTTGTGAATTGAAAAGGCAATATGGGGCCTCCCCAGTGGCGCAGCGGTTGAGCGCTGGGTTGCGAAGCTGCCCGCAGTCTCTGTGGCGCCGGTTCGATCCCCGGCTGCTCCCCAGCCACCAGAGGAGGGTCCCGCATGGCGTGCAGACCTCTCCTGCCGCCCGCTGCTCCCCTCAGCAGTGTACTTCGGTCCTTCTGCCTGCTCTGCTCCCCGCTCTGGCTCTGGTGAATTCTCTCACCCTCCCGCGCTTCTGACTGTACCCAGTGCATGTGCAAATGAACAAATAAATAAATAAATAAAATACATGCCTCTTTAAAAAAAAAAAAAAAATCTAAAAAAAAAAAAAAAAAGAAAAGGCAATATGAAGAAAGATGTGGGTTTTTTCATCAACATTAAACTTTGAGTTTGGAAGTTTTGGATGACACTGCAGTTTTTACCATAATCTTTTTCTAATTTACTTCTGAAATGTGTATTGACAGCACAGTAGTGAGAAAATTAAGTAGCTGCAAATGTTACCAGTAAATAATCTTGGGATCCTTCAATTTAACTGACACGGGTACTTAACAGAGATATATTGGGAGTTATCTAACAGTTGTTCGTGTTTTTCGTAATAAGCACTTAAGACAGACAAGGGCACTCAAAGCCCACAATAACTTCTAAGAAGTCATAAATTCTCCCACCACATTTTTTTCTTCTTGCTTTTGAATAGAGCCTAGTGAAGTTGCTTGTATCATTTTCTACAAACATGCACAGGCCTGAATTCACGATGAAACCATCGCAGAGCCACAACATTCCAAATGAGTGACACATTTTACAAGATGTTGAAATACAGGCATTAAGACTATAAGACAATCTGTGTTCTGAGCCTGTTTTAAACCAAGAATATTGCTGGTCTTCAACCTGTTAACAGGTGACATAGGATTCATTTGAATGCGAACATTAGTTTATCATGGTTTTGAAGAAAAGATTAAATGTGTTTGGGGGAAAGAGTTGAATCAAATGTTTACATTGTCCCTGAAAACCCTCTGCAAAAGTTGAGGCTTTCCTGGAGTGCAGTTGGAAAGTACTTAGTAAGACTATTGTAAAACTTGTGTGATGTGGTGAATTGGAAAAAAATAAAAGCTAACACCTCTTCAGCAATAAATTCTGTGCCATACACCACGCTAAGTACATAATATGGATTATGCCTTGAATCATCACAATGACTTAAAAGGTATTAGCCTTATTTCATGGGAAACTGAAGTTTTGACAAGTTAAACATTTATACCTTTCTTTAGCCAAGTGGTAAAGCCAAATGGTGACCTGGAGTGGAGTGAGTCCTTTACTTGTCTCTCTGAATTACCTGGGCAATATATGAGTAAGCTAGCTAGTGGATTGTAGAGAACATTTTGTGAGATGTTATCATCATGGAGACTGGTACGTGTTGATCAATGATGTGTGTGTCTGTGCAGCTTTTTACTTGAATTCTATTCTCATTTACAGAGATTATTTCTATGTCTAATCCCATGATTGCTATCTAATGTGGCTGCTATAAAAATATCAAGTCATTTCTCAATCCTTAGGAGTGTTTTTAACAGATGTGGTCTGAAATTTCTACTCCTCTACTTTGTCTTAGCCTGAATACCCAGGGGACAAGCCCATGACAGGATACTGCTCAGAATGGGTCAGCTAGTCTGCAAAACTGATCAAATGGAATGAACACAACTGTGTTTGCAGTAATCTTTTATATGTTTCCTACTGATCTGACAGTGTTTTTTGGGTCTTTTTGAGGGCAACCCTGAGCTTGGGATATTAACAGAAGCAATAAGCATATTGAGAGTCAGTGAGATGTGGGGTCAGGCATCCTTGTATTTGAATCCTGTTCTATCATTCTCTGTGCAGCTCCAGACAAGTCCCTTTACCTCTATGAGCTTTCATTTTGTGTATTCTAAGTGGCATTAATACTTTATAAGATTTTTATAAAAGAGATAATGTAAAGGAAGCTTTTAATAGTGTTGGAGGAATAATAGATGCTCAATAAATTAATCCCCAGCTTATGGAAGGTTATTGACACTGGGTAATAATCAAACAAAATAAATAAAAGTAGTAGTAATGACATTAGCTAAACAAATACGGGAGAAGGGAATTAAGCATCACCATTTTGCTTGTTTCTCAGTGCAAATGTCTTTTCCTGGAGAGAAGAGAGAAGACATTCTTACCAGACCGATCACGGCTGCTCCAAACCCAATGAGAGGGCTGACAGAGATAATAACCAAGGTCAGTTTCCAACCCCGGTAAAATCCCATCAGGAACCCACAGATGCTTGTGGTCATGCGCTGGATGAAAACGGCCATTTGGTCGGCAATGGCATCGTTGACTTTATTAATATCACTAAAAACAAGAGAGGCTTGATGAATTTGGTGAACTCAGGTCTTGTTGAGAAATCTCATTCTGTCCCCTCTAATCACTCCCATCTCAGTATCTTTTTGCCCTTGGGAAACAGTCTCTCACATCTTAGAAAATTTGCTAGCACCTTTTCCCTAATAGCCAAGTAACTTTGTCCTTAAACTAATTTTCTCAACTTGTGTCCCTTCAACCTTGGTAAAGTCTTTTGGAAACCATCTCATTTGTCTCCTTTCTTATCACTAATATCCTTGTCCTGTCCTGAAGAGCCCTTCTTTCCTTCCATAACCTGCTAAAATCTTACAGCCTCAAGATTCTACTCACATACAACCTCATTTATAAAACCTGATATAATCCGCTCGGAAGAAGTAATATCTTCCTCCCTGTGTTTCCACAGCAATGGAATTAAGCTTTATGTGTAAGTCATCCTTGGATTTGGCTTAAGAAGTTTAAAATAATGATTAAGAGAGCAAGGAATCTAGAGACAGACTCTCACTCTAAACACGAGCTTTTCTTGGTAACATTATTTAACCTTTCTGTGTGTCACATTCCTTCTCTATAAAATAAGGATAATAACAGAACCTACCTCAATGAGTAGTAATGGGGATTACATAACATATGTAAGGTATGTAGAGCATTGTCTAGCATGCAGTGAGCAATCAATACATGTGAGCTCTGATTATTTATTTGCTCGTTCCTGTCATCCTATTTATGTTAGGCTGTAATTTCCTTGAGAGCAGAATTCTGAGGTTTATCTTTATGCCTTGCATTGGGTTAAATGCTCCAGAATATTTGTTGAATATAATGACATTAAATCCATATTCCTGGGAACAATCTCATAGTTTTTCCAGATGGAACAAACCCAAGAACCGAAGACATGACTTAAAGCTACTACAATTAGACAATTGTATTATAGTAAGGGAACAAATTGTATTTGTTCGTGGTCATGGTAAGGGACAGAATAACTACTGGAACCTAGGGGCCCCCACACAGCCTGCTTTTATCTGTGCACTGTCTTTCATGGGACCTCATGTTCATTTCAGTAGGGTTCATTTGGTTCTAATTACTCAGAGCTCATTCAGAATTACTGGGGCTATTAATGACCCAACATAATATTTAGGTATAATGAGATTTATTTTTATAATGAGATTTACATCTAGTTTTAGATTGTATCTTTCTCAAACTCTTGGATATTTTGGTTTTGTTTAGTGTGTGGCAATCACCTCAATAGACAAAGAGTAATTCGAACTGTTTGTTTTCTTTGTTTATATATAAATTATGACATCTCTCAATTTCTCCTTTTGAGGCCAAATTACTGGTTTTTAAACTCCTTCTATCAACTTCATTTGTAATATTTAAAACTCTCTTCATTTGTAATATTTTAACTCTCTTCTATAAACTTCATTTGTAATATTTAAAATGGCCTATGAATCAAACTATAGTATCCTGGCTTTCAATTTTTAATGATCATACTTGATAAAGTAGTACCTATGAAAAAACCATACACCTTAAAAGATAAACCATATCAAAGATAACTGAAAATGTGTTTTACATTGCTATTTAGAAATAAATTTTATTATTAAAAAATCACACATACATCAACATCCTACCAGTTACTCACTCGGAAAATCTTGTATTCAGTTCTCCCACCGAATTACAGTCAAACCATCCCATTTCCATTCTCATTATTCTCCTAAAGTAAATTTTTCTCATTTTCTGTGTCTGACGAGCTGCAGCAATTACCCAAAAGCATATCTGAAAATGGAACAAGGAATGCTTAGTACTGCAATATTTCAAATACTCGATAATTCCTCTGCTTTTCAGAAGAAAATAACATCAATAAAGCAATTGAGGAAAGGAAGAAAATAATTCACAAATTGCCACTTCTTGAGAACAAAGGTATGAGTTCTGGCAGCTGTTGCCAAAAGTGGAGGTGGGCTCCACTACATACGGGGAAGCTGGAAGATCCGAGTTTGCATTCAGCTCGGACCTTTAAGACTTAACTTTATTGACTTTCACCTCTTCATGTATTAAATAAACCTTAGTAAGCCCAAAATAAATTATTCTTTTAAATCACTATTTTTGCATGACACTTCTGAGCGAGAGACCTACCGACAAGTATTCACACACAGTTTTCAGGCTATTGGCCAATATCTTTCAGATAAAATAAAAATTATGATATAAGCAGGGAATCTGCTGACAGATTTCCCTTAGCAAGGAAAGTAAGCTTGTCATTAAAACTTCCACTGCCAGAATAGGAAAAATTGATTCATTTTCTCCTTACAACTAACTTCCTGGAATTCTTGAATAATTGCAAGGAGGGGCAATCATTATTTTTTCTACAGAAGACAGTTAAAAGATGAAATGTTTCTTACGTAATGTGTATTAAACAATTCAAGACTGCCCATGGCCTAAATCTAGAACAAACTCCAGATTCAGCTTACAGAATTGGAATTGGAATGTAATTTGATGAGATATTAACAACGAAAGAGAGAAAGAAAGTAAATTTTACTTTCCTCCAACTCCCCCTCCCCTTGCCAAGCTTTCTGAAGGGTTTTACCGTCCCTCTGCAAACATACCTACAACTGTCTGTTTCTGAGTTTAGAAGAGAGGATGAAGCAGAAAAATGCAAGGGAGGATGGCACATTGACCAAAAATCAATTCATCTCTATAGACAATCTTGTATCCTTGTCCCCAACTGAGAGGAAGCGTTCTTCCTGCTCTCTCATGACCCCTACCACATAAAATGGTAACCTCAGGGCTTCTGAATAACTTCAAAGGAAAAGACTACAATTTGCTTGTCAATGTAACTTCCTTGAGTCCAGATGTCGACCTATAAAGAAAAAGGAGGCATCTACTAACTTGCATATATCCCATGATGAGTACTCCAACAGCAACTGCAGCGTAGTAACTGGCAAATTTGATCATTTCACTTTCGATGTCCAGCAACCTTGAAAAGAGGGAAAAATGCTAAGACTCACAAGTACTAGAAGTCACATGTATGGGTATAGAAAAATCTGAAAAATATATATTCAATACAGTAAGGCATTTTATTACGTAGAATTATAATCTGTCCAACCGAATTCTCAATAGACGTCATGCCTTACCCCTTTCATTTTTATGGACAGAAATGCCAGGGCCATGAAATAATTGATCAGAAGTTGCAGGAAGCCAAGATGCATGAGGGCTCGCTCTGCCCTCTCTGGCCACTTTCACACTTGTTATGGATTGATGAGTAATCACAGCTTGACCAAGTTTTTAAAACCTTTATTTCCTACCAGATGCCTGAAAAGACACATCTAAGTCAGGTTTTCAAATTTTCCAAGTCAGAGTGACTCTGAAAAATGAGTCACCTTGTCTAGTCTTTCTACTGAGTAGAAGCCACAAAGCTTCTCTGTCCAGGACAGTGTTTGAGGTTAATGCCAAAAACACTTGGGAATAGCAAGAAAACTCTAAAGCATTTTTCCAGCACAACGATCATGCTTTGGGGATTGGCAGGTTTGGGAGTGGCAGGTGCAGAGAGGGGAGAAAAAATTATTTCAAAATCACTTTAAAGAAAAAAGGAATTTTATAATAAGAAAATTAACTTATTGTCTAATGACAATTCTGATCCTTAGGACAAGTTAAATCATATAGAGTACATTTCTTCAGAAAATTAGAAAGCAACATCTTTTGCATAGATGTTCTTTTATAGCATTTCTTTTTTGCATTGATTTTACATCCTCTCACATTCACTAATCCACTTTCTGTCTTTGTGGATTGACCTATTGGGGACATTCCTCACAAATGGTCATTTAATGATATGGTCATTTTTTTTCTCTAGGTAAACCAAACTCTATTTACTTCATTCCTTTTTCTCCTTTGCTAAGTCAGAAGGAGAAAGACAAATACCAGATGATTTCTCTCATATGTGGAATATAAAGAAACAAAACAAAGGAACAGACAAAACTAAACCAAACTAAACCCTAGAAATCTAACTGCAGAATGAAGACTACCAGAGTGAGATGGTGGAAAGGTGAGCGAAGGGAGCAGGGGGCCCATTGGACTGTGGTAGAGTACTATGGGTGCCTTGGTGGTGGTGGTAACAAACATCTGAAGAGATATGAAGCTATATCCATAAATCATATACACGGTGAAAAACCAATATTACATCAAAAAAATACAAGTAAGGGCCTCCCTGGTGGCACAGGGGTTAATGACTGTGCTATCAAGCAATTGCCAGCCACTGCAGCATGAGTTTGATCTTCTGCCAGCCAGGAAGCAACGCACATGGCACAACAGAACTCTCCAGCCTCGCCCACTGCTCCCCTCAGCAGTGTATTTCAGTAGACCTCAGAAATGTATGTCAGTCAATCTGCCTGTTCTGCTCCCCAGTCTGTCTCTGGTGAATCCTCTTACCCCCTGCACTGCTGGCCTATACCCTAGTTCTTGTATGAATAAATAAATAAATCCTTAAAAAAATACAATTAAAACAAAAACAAAATAAAATCTTACATCATTTCTGCTATCAGACCTTTTTGTGACCCAAATTTGAATTGTCTGTACCCTCTAGTGAATTCAGACAAAGTACTGAAGTATAATTTTTTTAGTTTGAAGCAAACCCTTATTCCATGACCAGTTTCATTGTTATCAGGCACTATTATTCAATATCATTATTGAATATCTTTACATTGAGTATATTTGTTCTTTTTTTTTTTTTTGCAAAACACTGCGTTTTTTATGTATTATTTATAACTTTTTTATTGAGGTAACATTGGTTTACCACACTGTATATGATTCAGAGGTGTAGGATCACACTGGTTCAGATGTATGTTACGATCTCTATGGCTAGTAGGTTGCAAGATACTTGAGGGCAAGGACTGGGCTTAGGCTGAACTGTTCTGTTCTGACTCTTACAGATGAAAATAAACTTCTAAATTTAGAAAAAGAAACATACATATTTAGACAATAGGAATTCTATTTCTAATGACTAGGCTTATTATTTTTTAAAAGGGTAATTGTGCACATTGTAAACTATCCTGCACTTTTCTGTCAAGCATCAACCAGTCTGTAACTACATCTTTATTTAAATAGTCATTGATTTGATGGTGACCTCACTGACTAAAACTAAGCTCCTATCTGAAGATTAGGACTACAACACATAAGATAACTTTAGGATCCTTGGTGTTTGCACAAGATCCTGGTATCTATTTGGTATACAAATTTTGGTTGAATGCATGAATGAGTGATCCTAAGATGACCCACCTTGTGATGGAAGAGCATCAGTGATTTAGAATGATTTGTTCATAATCTGGAATCAAGTCTGCTGGTAATTTTTGAAAATGACAGTAAAAAATGTAAGTTTACTTGAGGGACACATTCCAAGTGTCTTTCTAGCCAGGATGAGTCCTACTCTTGGTTCTCTCACATGAGTGTGTGGGTTGATACGTGCAAATGAACTTGTTCTGACTCTGAGGCAGCGTGAGGCAGACTGCAAAGTCCATGCTATGACAGTGAGTCAGCCCTGTCTATACTGCAGACTCACGGGTTACAAGGCAGCCTCTGGAGCTTAGCACAAAGAGAGTAGAAGCACAGTGAACTCTGGCTCATTCTGCATGGCTGTCTTATGTTCCCAGCACTACAGCTCTTCCAATGAAACTCAACCACCAACTGACACCAGTGGCCCCTACTCCAAGTCCTGTGGAACACTAATGAAATCTCCATTCTAGAGAGAAGACAGTGGATCAAATGGATCATTAGCCACCATCACGTAAACTAAAGGAGTTAAGGGCCAGAAGGAAATTAGCTTATGAGAGAAAGTCTTGGATATAAGACATGACAAAGACTCAACTAAAATTCCTAAGTCTTTTTCCCAGAGATATTAAGTATTGGTAGTGTTATTCACAAGGCTATCATCTACAAAGTTTTTAATCTGGGATGATGTGTTCAGTGGGCAATTTCCAATCCAGTTTTCTGTTACAATTTAAAAACCTGTTAGAATGGGAAGGAACTCAGAGCAGAATAATTTGTAGACATATGGGTAAGTTTGCTTTGTGTTAGAGACCACTAAAGTTCAGTCATTAAAGTCCCTTGTACACACTATGAATTGCAATTTAAGATATGAGCAAAAAAAAAAAAAAGAAAAGAAAAATGGCAGCCTACCCACAAGCTGTTTGGTTTGTCTCATTCTGATTGAGGGAGCTGTTGGTCCATACTATGGTATTATTCACACATGCTTTTCCAGGGATATTGAGTTCTTGTACTTCGAAGTCATAGTCAATAAAAACATCAGTCATTGTGCCAAAAATTAGTAGCATGCCTGGATGGGACAGTCCATGGAGAAATGCACATAAACTTCCCATAAACATCAGCCAAATGTCAGTCGTTGAAGAAAAACGAAACTTGAAAAACAAAGGATTCAGAGATCATCTATGGGTGGAAGGCAGGAGAGGTAGGAGGACTATTTAATTTTAGTTACTAGATTCTGGTAAATAGAATTCAATACCACAGTTTATGGGAATCATCTTAATTGACAATAGAGTTCTCACTAGTTATATTGAAGTCAATGGAATATCAATAATCTAAAGCTTTAGACTCATTGTTAGATCATGGTACTTTTTTCCTGAACTCTTTATTTATTTTAAGAGCTAACTGGTTCTTAGCTATTCATCCACAGCTTAAGGGAGAACAATCACTGGCACCATTGTCATTGCCATGGATATAAATCGTATGCGGCATTCAGCAATACCATAAATTTGGTCCCAGTACTGATACTGATAATGAAGAATGCCCATTTGTACTTAGAAATGTCTCTATCATGTGTAAATCTTGGGGAAAATACCTATATTATAGAATTTCTAAAGATTTGTCATAAGAATAAATATACATGAGGGCCTCCCTGGTGGTACAAAGGGTTAAGATGCAACCTATGAAGCTATCCACAGCCACTGCAGCATGAGTTCGATCCCTGGCCAGGGAGCTACCACATGGCGCAGCAGACCTCTCCTGACTTGCCCACTGCTCCCCTTAGCAGCGTATTTCAGTCAATCTGCCTGTTCTGTTCCCCACTCTGTCTCTGGTGAATCCTCTCACCCCCCACACCTCTGGCCTGTTCCTCAGTTCTTGTGTTCATAAATAAATAAATCTTTAAAAAAAAAAAATACATGATAGGATTATTGTGATTTTTCTTACTAAATAATATTATGAGGTTAGTGATTATTTTACAGGATTCACCAGATAGGAATTGTATGCTCAACCACTAATAAATTTCTAATAGCTATGTAACAGTTTATCTCACAAAATTTGTTATTGAAAAAGTGATTATTGTACTCAAAAACTTAAGATTTAACACTTCCTCCATGATGGAAATAATTTATAGTCACAAAGCCTATACCATAAATCAGTTTGCTTTTATTACCAGTTGAAAGAAGCCAACTGGTCTGCTGTCTCTTTTCTTCTCATCTGGTAACCTGAAATGAAAACACAGGGATTTACAGATTGTCCTTTCCAAAACACTGAGAAATTCTTCATAGGTGGTGATTTTATGAGTTATTTCTTAGGAAGAAAAGAAACCCACTGGCTGAGAAATTCTTCCCAAACCTGATATCTTAAAAACAAGCTTTTATTCTTCAGATTTACCTCTTCAAGAGATTTCAGTGTAGATATAGCCTATGTTTAACAGAGATCACTGAGGTTTTCTAAGAAGTATTGAGAGAAAATAAAAGGTGATCTATAAAAAAAAAAAGAAGAAGCAGCTCTGTACTCACAGTTAAGCTACCAGATAATTATTTGACCTCAGTTTTGACCTTGACTTCATTCTACCTACATTTCCTTGTGGATACATTTAAGTGGTTGGAATAACTAATTTAAACCTTCCTCCTAGCCCTTCAAAACTTTACAACTACATTAAATATTAGTGAAATGATAAATAATGACAAAAACCTCCCATATGTCCCATAAAATCATATTTCTTCAATATATCTTATTCATTTCATTTCTCATAAGATTATGTTTAACCCATCTTTGACTTTTCCAACTCCAGGAATCTCTGCTTCACCAGAACCATCCATTCCAGAATGTACCCTGGACTTTGCTATCGCCAGGAACTACTCTATTCCATCAGTACTCTGGGACTGCCTGTGCAACTTGTTTTCTCACTTCCTTCCTCCTTCCACACCTATTTATCATCACAGTTGACACCTGCAATCCTGTAAACCCTCCATTTGCTTACAATAACTAAACCTTGTCAGAATGTTCTTCCCCTACACCCCAGTTCCCACTGCTTGCTATTTGGATTACATTTTCATCATTATCCTCAATTCTTTCCCCTAATTCCATCCTTGGAAACCCCATCTCTGTATCCTTCCAGCTATTTGCCCTTTTCTTTCTAAAGCTGGGCTTTTGGATCTACTAGAAACCTTCCCTCCATGTGAACTTACATTGCCACATGCCATGCCTAGCACTCAGCTGCCTTCCAGCTCAGAGTAGCATCCTATGTCCTTCTTGAACCATCCCAGGTCCTCCATGTCCTGGTCAGTTGGCCCTCTGACTTCATCACCTATTATACTCATGTTTCACTAACCCAGTAGCCTGGCCTCCTTGCTGACCTTTGTCCAGGTCAAATTGTTTCCACCTCTGGTCATTTTCATTTGCTCATTCTTCACATACCTGCATGGCCTACTGCTTCACCTCTGTCAGGTATTTCTGCAAAAGTCCCCTCCTTAGAATGATCTTTTCTGGTCAAAGTTTTAAAATCTTTAACTTTGGCCCCAAGCTCATTTCATATCTCCATTTAGGTTTTCTTTTTTCTTCTTAGAAAGAAATTGATTATCACTAACTACATATATGTTTTTTATTTATAGTGTTTATTGTATCTCCCTCACTCAAATGAAAGTTCCTCAAGGGGAGAGATTTTTGCCTATTTTGTTATTTTCTATATTTTCACCACCTATAATAGAATCTGGCACCTATTACTCAATTAATATTTGTGACATGAATGAATGAATATGGTCACCAGCCTTCAGTTAGCCTGTAACTCTGCAGCTCCTCCCTCTATGATTGTTTGCATTCCGTTCAACAAATTAATCAAACTTCTCATTCTGTATCCTCCCCTAAAACACAAAGAACTAATTCAGCCTTCTTGCTCATTCTCTCATTGCCATTTCCATGCATCCACATCCATTTTCATCTCTTTCCCACCTTGTGAGAAAACTGTGTTCTTCTAAGTCCAGGCTGACCCTCTCACTTCTACTCTGAAGCTATGTTTTCACATCCAGCTCCTCCCTCTATCATGAATTACTTAAAATTTCTTGAATACCATCAACCTTTCTCTCTCTACCACCTCTATTTCAGGAACTTGCCTGATGCCTCCTTCTGTATTTTAATGAGACTCCATTTGATCCTGCCCTCATGTCAAAGTACAATTAAGCAACATTGGTTTTATATGCTAGTTTAGACTCTTAAACTAAAGAAAAATATCTAATAATTAAATTTTAGGTTTCTACTATTTGCCTGTGGAAAATATGTTTGGGGACCTCCCCTGTGCCCATGAATTCATATTTGTTCAACTATTTCTCTGCCTATTTATATCAGAAATTCTGTGTTTCTGAATGCACAGAGGAGATTTGGGTCTAATCCGGAAGGGATATTCCGAGAGGTTTTTGAAATCAAATTATGTTTTAGAAAGAAAACTTTGATTATATATACCATTTTACAAGAAATGTGATGTGCATTCAAAGACAGTCTCTGCTTTCTGCCTTTTATAGGAATATTGTAGGCTTATTATTGAGCTGATGCACTGTTGAAATAGTGACTTACCTTGAATTCTTACTGTTATCTGTCAGGATAAAAACAATATATAAGAAGTTAATAATAATGATACATGTAATATAGTCATTAACAATTTTGTTCAAAAAGCACTCCTATACTTTACATTACATAATGATTATTTTTCTTTTCCCCTTTTATTCTCTCTCTCCCTTCTCTTTTTCTCTCTCTCCAAATTGCTCATATTATAGAAGACACTGTTTCAGGTTCAAAACTGTTAACTTGATTTCATTTCTGGATTTTTCTCCAGAACATGACGTTTTTGTGTCTTCTGAATATCAAAACGAAACAAATATTTCTAAATTAGCTGAAGAAAATCTGACTTTTTGAACTGAACAAAATAAAACTTCATTATTTAGTTCTTTAGAAACATCATAATTTATCTATTCAAAATATTGACCACAAACTAACAATAAGATGTCACCAACATGTCTGGGCCAGCAGAAGTCATAGGCTGAGCAGCATAGGTCAGAATAAATAGATGGTGGAGGGGAAAGTGAGGGTTCAGGGTCATGTCTGTGGGGGAGCCACAGGGAAAGGAACCAAGATGCTAATGTCCCCTATCATCATGGAACAGCATGTCTTGGTTCTCCTGGCATTTTAATTTAATTTAATTTCAATAAGTGTAAAGAGGCATTAGTGTGTAGGTAGAGATTAACATCTCAGGTTTTGGAATCAACTAGTCGTATGATCTTTGTCAAATTTTAAAAATGTATTCAAGTATCAGTTTCTTCTTCTGTAAAATGTTAAATGAAAAAAATTTAAAATAACAATAGCTTAGAATCATCTTATACAGACCATGTACTAGTGATATAGAGGCCCTTCCTTTTTTTCTCATTCTGGTCAAGTCTTTGTACAGTTTTCCTCAGGGAACAGTGCTAACTAAATGATTATAACTATAATCAACCATAATAACATATGAATAAAGATAAAAATAATAGCCAATGCTGGAACAACCTCACTCTATCTAGTAAAGAGATATCCAGGGTCTCCCCAGTGGCGCAGCGGTTGAGCGCTGGGTTGCAAAGCTGCCCGCAGCCTCTGCAATGCTGGTTTGATCCCCCGCCACCTGGAGAGGGTCCCACATGGCACGCAGACCTCCCCTGCCGCCCGCTGCTCCCCTCAGCAGTGTACTTCGACGGTCTGCCTGCTCTGCTCTCCGCTCTGGCTCTGGTGAATTCTCTCACCCAACTGCACTTCTGACTGTACCCAGTGCTTGTATAAATAAATAAATAAATCTTTTTAAAAAAATTTTATGGAAAAAAAAAAAGAGAGATATCCATTGGTGAGATGCTTTCACTCACCCATGTTCTATGCATTCTTACCTGGCACTTTCAGATATTACATTATGTGGATTCTAGAAGAATCAATAATTCCTAAGAATAACAAGCAGCAATAATTTTACAGCGTTGCTGATTTTTTCTGCCTTTTGAAACTTCACAAGCTTGTCCCGCTTTTATTTTCACTTCCCTTTGTACAAGAAACTGTGACCAAAACAAAACAAAACAAAACACCAGTGACAGAAAACGTCACTTACATGATCCATGTGACTCACAACCACGATCCTCTTCTCCAAATTTCTTCACACTACGAAGAATGACTGAGTCAGACATGGTAATTGCAATCTGCAGTCAACAACCCTTTAAAATAAAATAATTATTACAATTATTTTTTATTTTCTCTTCATAATCAAAGTAGCAAATGAAAGAACAATTTGGTTCAATAAATAATGTTCACTTACAATCTCAAACAAAAGCAGATTTCTTTAACTGGTTAACAACTCTTTGAAGGAGTCTAATTAATAGGAAAGATAAATCCAAATCTTTAATAATGGTTTTGTCTGGTTGATAGCTGCATAGTTATTTTTTATTTAGCTATTTTCTGCTAACTGTGTCTGCTTTCTCCCTCCCTCTCCCTTCTCTTTTTCTCTCTCCTAGTGAACACAAATCAAAAACATCAATAAAGACACAACCAAACGGCCACATTCTCAAGTTTCTTAAGTCAGTGTAACTGACCATTGATACAAATACTGGTGGGTGACCTTCAAAGCTTCTTTATAAATACAATCTCAAGATCTAGGGTACACTGAGTCCACTGTGGAGCAGGGACCTGAAGAGAGAAATTTTCTGAATAAATTGTAAATGTCTATAGAATTATGTTTAATCTTATTAACAGTGAAAAAAATCAGATTGTAAAGGATGCAGGGTTAGAATTCCAAGACACAGATTTTAGATTTAATATAGAGTTCACTCTTCTCTAACTTTCTCTGCTCTAAGTACAATGATTTTAAAAAAAAAGTTAAAAAAATAGAACCAGATTCAATAAGCATCTCTAAATAAATAAATAAATAAAGAGAAGCACGAAAAGGAAGCAGAACACAGAAGTAGAAGCTGCTACTATTTAGACCTCATTGTCTGCATGCAGATGGACTCTGTGTGTATGTGTGCATTGGGGAGGGGATTGTAAGAGACAAAGATTAGCTCTTAAAGGGACTGTAAGTGTCCCACATCGACAGGTGACTAGAGACCACCTCTCCACTTGGACCCAGGGGCTTATACTAGTCTCCTGCTAACAGGACCCTGAGTAAAATGCTGTGTATCATTGCCTGGACTGTTATTTCTTATGATGAACTACAGACCCATGGAAGTTATATGCAGTAAGAGTGACACAAACATGTACTTACACTATACATATACATTATGTACAGAGAAGAGAGACAAGGTGGAGTGATGAGAGACTTCTAAGTTCATTTAATTGCGGTCCCAGGAGAAGAGAATGGAGAATGACTGGGATGTAATAATTAAAGAGATAATTACTAAGAAATTTTCCAGAAGCAAAGAACTGTGTCCTCAAATTAACAGTAGAACCCAAGAATTAAATGGGTTAAACACAGATAAATCAAAATTTAGATACATTAAACCAAAATAGTAAAGGAATCAGAATACACAAAATCTGCCTTAAAAGTCAGGAAAGAGGGGCCTCCCCGGTGGCACAGCGGTTGAGCGCTGGGTTGCGAAGCTGCCCGCAGCCTCTGCGGCGCCGGTTCGATCCCCGGCTGCTCCCCGGCCACAGGAGGAGGGTCCCACATGGCGCGCAGACCTCTCCTGCCGCCCGCTGCTCCCCTCAGCAGTGCACTTCGGTCCTTCTGCCTGCTCTGCTCCCCACTCTGGCTCTGGTGAATTCTCTCACCCTCCCGCGCTTCTGACTGTACCCAGTGCTTGTATAAATAAATAAATAAATCTTTAAAAAAAAAAAAAAAAAAGTCAGGAGAAAGGGGAATGTCCAGATGGAAATATGGACTGATGTTTTTTTCATCAATGATAGAGGTTAGAAGCCAACGAAGTAACATCCTCAAAGTACCGAGGAAAAATTAGCTTTAATCTAGAATTGCATACTGAACCAAACAATCAGCACGTTCTCAGACATCAAAACCAAGACAGTTTGTCACCCAAAGATGTGAACAAAACAACTACTAGAGGTGACTTAGCAAAAGGAAAGAATATTCAGAAATGAGTCATGTCAAAGAAAAATAAGAGTGAACACATAGAGTAACCAAATATGTCAGTACAGTCAATCATACAGTGATACAGAATATAACTTTCATATTAAAAAGGACAAAACTAAAATTCTACCCAATAGTAAGAGAGAATGTTCAAAGTTTAGATTAAACATGTAGACATTGTCATGAAAATCTATGGACATTATTTAAGAAATAAATATCTATTAGATTAAATCTGATTAGTTCAACATTTTTACATATGAAACTATGAATTGCATATAGTTTCAACTCTTTTTTAATTTATTTTTAACTCAAATAGTACCAATACAGTAAACAGTTTCTATATAAGCAGTTTCTATATAAGCAAAGGATAAAAACTGAGAAAACTTCATCAACAAAACAGAGGTCAAGAAAAAGAGGGGAGAAAAAGGCTAACAAAAAGAAAATATAAAATAAAAGGAATGGGTACAAATTGTTCAGTAAATATAATAATATACATGCATTGAAGTATTGACACAAAATATGTGGATGAACCCCAAAAACATGCAAAGTGAAAGAAGATAGTCACGTATTATATGATTTCATTAATATAAAATTCCCAAGGAGGGCACCTCAATAGAGACAGGAAATAAGGGAGTGGTTGCCTAGGGCTGGGGTAGGGTGGAGAAGGAGGGTGAGGAGTGACTAGGTAACAGACTCAGGTTTCTTTTGGGAAAGATAAAAAAAGCTCTAAAATTAGACGATGGTGATAGTTACAAAAGTCCATAAAAATACTAAACACCATCGAATTGTACAGTTAAAACAGGTGAACTTTCTGATATGTATATTATACAGCTAAAGACTATTTTTTTAGAGATTCATTATTTCATTGAGTTTTGAAAAATTCAGATATATAATATCAATTCTAAAAGACAATATAAAATCATAAGGAATGGTTGAGATAAAATTTAAGATAAAATAAAAATTAGCAAAAATGAAAAATGATGTAAAAATATATAATTTAAAAAATTTTAAAATAAAAATAAATAAATAAATTTTCTCATTAGCTAAAAAAAATAAAAATTAAGAGATAAAAAAGGATATGTCATACCAATATTGATTTCCCTAAACTATTATCTTGCCGGGAAAAAAAATTATGTTCAAAGCAAAAATAGAGATAAAGAGGATCCTATAATAATTTAGAAACAAAATTAATAACTTTAGCTAATATCTACATATTGAAAGCAATCAATACATACTTTTTCTCAATTATATTTGATCATTAATAACTCACCACAAATTTCAACTGTTATTCTTCAAAGAATAAATAAGAAATATTAAACAGTAGTAAACCACAAGATGTAGCCAATAAAATTGTGTGTCTTATAAATTTTAAACTACAATGGGTTAATAATTATGGGTTAAAAATGAAATCATGAAAGATATTATAAAATACTCTTTGAAAAGGGATATTTAGGTTGACTGAACTGATTCTATTTTATGCCCAAGACTCCATCTCAAATGAACTTTTAAGTTTTAAAAGAACTATTTACTGACTGGCAAGAACCAGTTTCCAAGTAGATGGTGTCTTCTCCAAGAACTATACAGAGATTTTTTTTTCCCTCTTTTTCTTCTCCCCATAGTAACCAAGGCCAGCTTGACTAAAAGCCAATGAATTCAAAGGTATGTAATCTATAACCAAGCCAAGTTCTTAGTGAATTCCACCCCTTTCTCCTGCAGCCTTGCAATATCCCTCCCCCCTCTTCCCTCCCATCCTGTTCCTTTAAAACTCCCTAAAATAAAGATCCCAGTGCAATAGCATTTGGACTGGTATCTGAATTGGTGCTCCTTGACTTGAAATCTATCAATAAATAAATACCACTATTTAATTTTAGCTTCATCATACCTGTCTTGTTGACAATGCAAAATATAATTGCAATAAAATGTAAAATCTTGTCGGATGCAGTTAAAAAATTCTTAAAGATTTAGATATAAACATAAATTAATTTTATTTTTTAAAAAATTGACAAATTACATTCTAACCAAGAACTTATCAAAAAGCAGTATTACTAATATAGGAAACAAAATAAAACAAAAAGCAGTAAATCGTATAAAACAATACAAAAACTACTGCAATTCAAAATACAGGCAAAACTCAGTGACTGCAAAGAAAAAGATATAAATCACAAATAAATATTCACAGAAAGTAAACAAGGTAACATAACAAAAGAAACTTTGTAAGTTGTAAGAAAATACTATAAATAATTTTATAGTAATAAATTTGAAAACCAGGATAAGATAATTTTTCTGGAAAAATATGATACCAAATTTTATTCAGGAAGGACTAGAAAATTTGAAAACTAATGGCTATTCAGTATATTCACTCAATATTCAAAAGCCTTCAAATCTCAACAAACAATAGAACCAGATAATATTACAGGTAAATTTTACCAAAACTTCAAAGAAAAGATAATTCTAATTTCATACAAATGTTTTCTTTAGTAAAGAGAAAAACTAGGAAAAACTACCTATCTAATTTTATAAAATCAGTATAATCTTGACATCAAAATTATGAGAAAAAACTAAAATTATTTTTGAAAACAGATTTGTAAGTGCAAAATAAGATATTAAATATAATTCAGCTGTTTGTTTAAATAATCACAATGAATCATGTTGGTTGCAGGAATGCAATGAATATTTAATGTTAAAAAATTCATCATTTTGATAGATGCCAAAAAAGTATTCAATAAAAATCATTATCTAGTCCTGATTTTTAAAAACCTAGATAATAAAGGAGAAAAAAATCATGATTTTGTAACCTCAATGAATAAGTTTTGGGTGATCATCAGCAATAAATATCTAAAGTTTTCACTGAAATCTGGCAAAGAATATCCAATACTATGAAATGTTGGGAAGACGTAGAGGAAGGATATTATATTAAGTCCATCTAGAATGGCTGCTGTCAGAAAGCTAGAGAAATTTTATGATTGGGTAAAAAAACAAAAATATTCATTTAGCAAGAGAGAGGGGTGTTTGGAATTGTGTGGGTTGCACAGTGATCTTATTTTTGCCTGTGCTTAGACAAAATTATGAATTGGCCTTGCTTCATCTCATTTTATCATGATCTCGGAGTGACCTTGTCCAAGATGGGTGGGATAGTTAATTTCATGCGTCAGCCCCAGTGGCTAAGGGATGGCTGACTATCTGGTAAAACTTTCCTTCTGGCTATGTATGTGAGGATGTCTCCAGAATAGACTGAGTTAATAAGATCACCCTTATCAATACAGGTGGGCTTCGTCCAATCTATTGAGTGCCTGAATAGAAGGAAAAGGTGAATGAAATTGCCCTGTTGCTTTGGCTAGGACACCCATTTTCTCCTGCCTTCAGATATCAGCCCTCCTGGTTCTCAGTGCCTCCCCACCCCAATTAGGACTGCTTCCCTAGACAACCCACTCGCAGAAAGCAAGTTTTGTGACTTCTCAGCTGGCCTCTGTAATCACATGAACCAATCCCTCAGAATAAATCTCTTTTTATATATCTATCCTGCTGATTCTGCTTCTCTGGAGATCCCTGACTAATACACTGAGCATTCTACATTATTGCTTATTTCTAAAAGAAAAACACATGACTCGC